TTCATTTCAATTTAATAACAAGAATATTCAAATGTGCTATTGATATGAAAAAAAGCTCTTACGTAAATAAATTTTCTGATTTGTTGCTATTATGCAATAGACTTATACGAGGCCATTGAACAGTCATGCTGCCAATTATTATAACTGACGTGAATATTTTATATACTGTTCTGGGTAAATTTAACGAATTATATAACTTAACATAATAATGTCGACGTTGAACTGCATACAGACAATATATTTTGTTATGTAATATGTTACTTCGCACGCATATGGTATAGATATTTTACATAAATATGTTGGGGCATTAACACACAGCACCATCTAGTTCCATGGTAAGCTACGAGGGTTGTGTTATGGATTTTTTTTTTTTTTTTTTTTAACGTTGGGAAATGCATTTACGCACGAAGTGTGGGACTCACCGGCGAAGCCAGTACTACCCACTAAAACCCAACAAAACCTTCCCCCGTCTTAATGGGGCGTCGCAGGATCGCTTACGCATTCAACTACGACGCCCCGACGGCAGGTCTGCCGAAGCAGACCACAACAACCATGGGGTTGCTCCACGGTCCACTCTGCTATCAGAGAAGTACCAGGAGCAACCCGCATGGTACACCGCCCTCCGAAGAAGGCCGCCTCCCACCGCCCACCGAAGCGGGCCACCTCCCTGTGCGTTTCTTGGCTTCGCGAGTACACTACTGAGCCCCCCCACCACGACAAGGTGAACGCACGTTGGGGGGGTGTGTTATGGATACCAGATAGTTGATACACTACAAATATATAACTTTAAATACATACATATTATAAATATAAACACCCATGACTGGAGTACAAACATTCGTGCTCATCACACAAATGAATGCCCCCAGCGGGACTCGAACCCGTGACCGTTAGCACCGCAAGTAACGTCACTACAAACTGAGCCAAACGTGTAGTCATAAGGGACCCGTGTGTAAATTAATGAAGGGTTAAATTGAATGGGATATTAGCCCTCGAGACCAGCTCTTTAAATGTCAGCTAGATTTACCCGTTGAAATATGGTTTAGTAATTGGCTTTCGATAGCTTCTCATTATAAACAAATAACTGCCGTCATTTTAATAACAAGCTAGCTTTATTATTTTGCTTTAATCGATGTTTCTGCGCCGAGTCATTACCCCTATACGCGCAAGTTATAAAGTAAAAAATTCTTTCAGTTCAAAAGCATTCTAGCTGTAGTATTTAATAGTTTATAGTTAATTTGAAAATGAATAAGAAAAATGTGTATGTATAATATATTAAACGCGTATTTATAGATTTCTCAGAGATAAGATATTTTGACGCAGTAAAAAGTATTCTATATGTTGATCCGGATAACCAGCTATCGTCATACCGAGTTTCATCACAACTTGCCCAGTGGTTTTCTCTGATGTTTTCCCAGAAAAACAGACAGATATATAGACAGACAGAGAGACAAAAAATCTTAAAAATATAAATTCGGTCTCTGTATCGATAATAATGACTATTTCAATAAGATATTCCAAAAAATATTTAATGTACAGATTCGACTTAGAATTTGATTATATGTATAAATGGTTAAAGCTGTTTCTTTAAATCTAGTCAATCGACTGACACGATAGTCTGTTGTAGAGCAGTTAAATTAAAATCTTAATAAAAGTAATTTTCGGACGTTTGGAAAAAATTATGAGAGTAAAATTTTTACGATGCGCCCGCGCACCGACAGCCCAAAAGCGACATGATGAAGTTAGTTGTTAAATGTTTGTTGCCATGGTGACCGTTGTTATTATCTAACAAATGATAAATAATATTTAGAGGGTATAAATGATAAATAAGATGAAACATTACATTAAACGAATGACGCGCCCTCGTTTTATTCAGACCCCAATCGCACCTTTTGCATCTATCTGTAATTTTAATTCTGCTCACAATTTTGTAAGAAATTTCTTCAAATGGTTCGGCGAGCAGTGTTGGAATATTATATATTGTAAGCTCACAGTATTTTATGCCCGATTTTGCAACTTAAACTTAGTACGCATTTAAGGCAACATTTAAAAATTTACCCGTTGAAATATGGTTTAGTAATTGGCTTTCGATAGCTTCTCATTATAAATAAATATTATACGAGTAGGTTCAATTCAAAAGCGCAAATTAAGGCTTAGCTTTTAATTACGCATTTTGTTCGATTAAAAGTAAAATAAAATACTTTATACAAACAATTTGATATTAAAAACAAACTTAATTTGGCCGCTGAACTAGATGTATTGCATTTGCGGGCCTGAAAGAAGCCATTAGATTGCCATAATATTTTTTAAATGTAAAACGCTAATTTATTCAGTAATGAAAATGCTTTTAACCCACTAATATCTTGAGTCGACACCGCTGACGTGGCATAAAACTTCGCCTGAGTCAGCGTTTTTATCGAACGACACGACGGTTTGACTTCGTTTTCAATTCAGTCACTGCTATTAGTTTATTCATACACAGGTGTTGGATTCAATTACGAATTGTATGAGCTATATTAACTAGAACGCGCAAAAGGTTATAGGTACTCGTAGCAGCTACGTGCCGTCTACGGTTCGTAGCAACTAATTGCATTCCAGATGCCTTTATGCATTCACATCCTGTACAGCTATTGTCTATTGTGGTATTATAACATTGTTGTTTCTATTGGAATATGTGAGTATATCTAATATATTATTCTAATATTAGTTTATTGCAAAACATAAATAGGTACTCATGTTATCGGAGTATCCTCATAACATAATATTATTATATCTATAAAACATGTTGATAGTTTGTTTATAAGGACATTTCTTATTAGTAATAAACTATATGAATGATAAAATATAATATAATGACTTACATAAAGCTAAGGATAATAGAGAAATCAGAAAGCATTTAGAATTTTACACTTATTTTAATGATTCAAATCACTGATATTGAATAAGTTATCCATTAGTTTTGAAAATATATATATATAACTAGCAACTCACCCTCGCTTCGCTCGGGTTCGCCTCTAGGAAAATAAAAATAAACCTATCCCTCTGGAACCGTACATATTCCGGGATAATAAGACGCCTATGTATTCCAGACTATAATCTATCTCTATGCCAAATTTCATCCAGATCCGTTTTGCTGTTCTGGCGTGAAAGAGTAACAAACATCCATACTCACAAACTTTCACATTTATAATAAATATTATAAGTATAGACAATATTAATATAATATATAATAGAATATAATATATAAGATTGTATCAATAAATTATTTTTTAAATATACTCGTATAAGAATTTATAGAATACTACTCTCCTTTACTCTCTTTACTCCTTTACTTACTTTACTTTATTTTCCCGCAATAAAAAGTATCTACATGTTGACTCGGTTAACCAGCTATCATCATACCAAATTTCATCAAAATCCCCCCAATGGTTTTTCCGTGATTCGGTCACAGACAGACAGATTAAAATTCTAAAAAGTAGAGATTACTGGTAGTAGATATATAAAAAAACGATTGATAAAAAAGTAAAATAGAATTTTATATATGTACACATATACATATGTAACGTAGATTTAACCTTTCTCATTGCCAAACATTATTATTTATCATATTATTCATCTATACTAATATTATAAAGAGGTAAAGTTTGTGATCTTGTGAGTTTGTGGGTTTGTGAGTTTGTGAGTTTGTGACGTTGTAGGGGGTAATCTCTGGATGTACTGAACCGATTTACAAAATTCTTTTACCAATAGAAAGCCACGTTCTTTCTGAGTGTCATAGGCTATATATTAACCCGAAAAAAGAAAAGGCCTTTTTGTGGTAGTCGGATTTGCAAAGTAAGTCGGAGAAAAAACGGTCGAACGAAAACGTTTCTTACGAACGCTGCCTTAACGATGAGAGATATATGATTACGTTCTAGAGAAAAGTTGTAGAGCTTAATAATGCCTACAAAAAAGTCCGCGACAGCATATGTCTAACTTTTATATTTAAGTCACAAAAGTAGTTTTTTTATATTACAAAAATAAATTAAATCGGTAGGTCATGTTTATTGGTCATATTATCAACAATTATGAATTCTTATCAAAATAAGTAAATTTATCGTCTAAAATATTTAAAACAAAAGACTTTTGCCTTTTACTGCATATAATTTGGACAAATGGTTAAAGAGATAATACAACATATTCGTAGGTATGGACGAACCCGAGCGAGCTGTTTGTCTGTTTTTCTGTTTGTACGGGCTAATCTACGATTCTATTGGACCGATTTAAATGAAATTTTGCATGGTGGTACCTTATATCCCCGTGCAACATCTTAGATACTTTTCATCCCGGAAAATTAAAGAGTTCCCGTGGGATAGTTAAAAAACTATAACAATTTATACAGCTTAGTACACAAAAACTACTGATTGGATTTTAATGAAACTTTACAATAATATAGTTCATACATGACAAAAACAAATCAGCTACTTTTCATCCCGAAAAATTAAAGAGTTTCGTGGGATAGTTAAAAACTATTGTAACTTATACAGCTTAGTACACAACAACTTATTCACCTAATTTAGTAAAATTTGGCATGCTGATACCTTATATTGCCGGTCAAACAACAGGTTACTTTTCATCCCGGAAAAATGAACGGTTCCCGTGGGATAGATCTGTTTGTGCTTTTCTAGAGGTGAACCCGAGCGAAGCGAGGGTGAGCCGCTAGTTTTTTATAATGGCTGTACTTTTACCTTGCATTAAAGAACTGTGCCGTTGTTTAAAAATCGATTTGTATATTGATTTATAATATGTCTTAGATTAGTATCGATAAAAATACAGCGCTATTAAAGGGGCATTAGTTTTTATTTATCTACAAATTGATTTATTTAGCGATTAGTCCTCCTTAAAAGGGAATCCTAATAAAACTACTCAATACTATTTTTTATTATCAGAGCAAAGTAGAGAGAGTAAGGTATTACTTTAAAATCACTTACAGTTAATTTATTCAAGTCATAAGGTCAAGGATGCTGGAGCGGCGGATATATCGAGATGATATAGATTATACGGGCTCGACGGATCCCAGACGTCATACTGTCTGCCAAGATAACGGCAAAGTTAAACAAGTATAATACTACTGGGTTTGAATTTACATTAAGTTAATGTCTTTTTTAGTGTCATTAGAGGGCTTTGGATTTCAGCTATGTTGAATTATTTATAGTGTCATTTATGTAATATAACATATATTTCAGTCGTACATGTAAATGTGTACGTATAGTATATAAAATTGATTGGGTATAAAGTAAGGCTCTGTATATATTAACTATTACTTAATACTTACTCTTATTTAGGTAAAAGTTCAAAAGTTAATAAAAAGCCATGTATGTATATACACAGTTTGCCATCCCGTATTAGACGACCAAGATTACGATTGCCAGCAAATATGTATAATAAACATATTGGCATTTTGTTAAATTCAACCAATCATTTCTTAAACAATTGGTCGCGAAATCCATGTTCTTGGCTGTTGTCGCTATTTTTGGTGTAGACTTAATTGAAAAATAGGAAAAAGATATTTAAATTATAAATCGCGCGACGCAAAGGAGGATAATGTGTTTATCAGCCTATGTATGTATGTACAGTACAGTTTAGGACATATAATGATTTTAAGTTGGTTAACAACCATTCTCGCTAATTTTCCTACTTAAAAATACTTAAAAAGCTGTTAATAAATAAATATATTTATTATAAAAATAAAAAACCCGACTGCATCCAAGCTAACTAAAAAGATAAAAACAAATTCACGAAGGCATATAGTATTATGCAGTCGGAGACATACATACGAGTATGTACATCTCGCGACAAGGATGAAATCTCCGACTGCATAATACTCTATATTCCTTCATGAACTTGTTTTCATCTTTTTAGTGAGCTTTTATGCAGTCGGGTTTTTTATTTTTATAATATATTTATTTATTGTATTAACCTAAGGAACAGGTCTAAAAGATAGGTAGGTATAATCGTAATGTAATAATTATGTAATCTTAAGTTAAAAATATAATTTGTGCAAAGTTAACTGTTAAAAAAAAACAGAAAACTCAAGGTACTTTTCAGTGTAAGATAGTCTAATAAAGATAGCTTATCGTAGCGTAGCTTATCAAAGTGTATTTGAACGTTCTAAATATATTTCTAGCTTTCGATCTATTTAAAGGTCAGCTTTAACGTAACTGGCTGTCGCGAAGCAATATTTGTACAAGCCGGAGTGGCAGCTATCAGAGTTGGAAGGCTCCTATCAGATTATTTACTACCGGCGGCGCCTCCACGCCTGTCCCGTTCACAGCTCGAGATCAATACGGAGGCTGTCTCCACCCCAACTCTAGCCTCCTTCGATTAAGCGCTCCGTTTCCTTTCCTTTTCTTTTTGCTTCACATGTAATATGTATTATATGAATAAATGAGATAGTGCAGACTGCTATAACATATGCCGGCGACACTCACTAGAAAATGTAATCCAAACAGAAATTGTAATGCCTTACAGACACGTCTCCATTATCTAAAATTTAGCATTAAATTTTAGATTTAGTTCATTAGAGTGATGATAGATACAATATTTTTGTTTACACGAAATAAATACTCGTATACTACAAAGCCCATGAGATTAATAGCTTTTATATATAAGTACGTTTATAATAATAAACATGTATATAAAAGTAATTAATGACAAGGTAAGGTAAATAATTATGAACTAAGTCAGAAAATATTTTAGGGTTGAGTAGTAAAATTAAAGAGAAAATATATTTGCTAATATAATTAAGACTCTTAAATAGAAATATTTTTTATTATTAACTCGTCCGAGGTCCTATTACTAAGAAGTGCCACGATTAAACTATAAATAGTACAAAATCTAAAACAACGCCACAATGTAACACTTGCCACTTCTAAAACCACATATGACATTGAGGAAGATTGTTGACGAGTAGTTTTGAGTAAAACAACTGCACTATATGTAATTTCGAGCTAGAATATAAAACTATTGATTAACACCTCCAGGTAAATTTCTAAGAAATTAATTAAATTTCCAAGAAATCTATTGTTAACTGTAACGCCGGCGTCTCCGCGGTCGTGGAGGGGTTAAAATTATTTTATGGGTTTCAGAAACTTTGTATATGTTATAGCAAATTGTTGTTCGCGCAGAGGTTAGAACTAATACCAAATTAAGCTTAACCGACAGACTTTGTTGTGTTCACATTTAATTCTTTTCTAGTCTTTGAGATCATGCAAAAGTCGCAAAAAACACATTTTTAGTTTTTTCCCAATTTCTCAATTATCCGCGTAAGTTTTACATCTTTTTTTGCCCTCGAAGACCTCATTCAGACTGTTACGAATATTTCCAAAAAAATAAGCTGTGTATAAATAATAAGTATAAATATATAAATTGAGCCGTTAACCAACGTGTTAAATTTCATTTTAATTTATATAGATATGCAAATTCTATTACAAAAATTAATATTTTCTATGTTTCATGTTTGCATTATTTGGTGTTTACATTAAAAGTTCTTTTAAATAAAATTTATTTTGAGCTCGAGTTTGAAACATATGTATATGAACATCCGGTAGTTTTTACATTCCTTAATAACAGAAAATCTAGTAGTAGTACTTGTTTGTATACCTATGTATTCAGCCCTTTTGCTTTTCCCACTGCTGGGCGCAGGCCTCTCTTCAATTCGAGGGGGATCAGTCCATAGTCCACCACGCTGGCCAAGTGCGGGTTGGCCAGCGTGGTGGACCTATATTAAATTAAATATGCTTTTTAAATATTAAAATGCAAATAACTTTTTAATTAATAAAAATAATTATACCAACTTTCGGTATGGATTTAGAATCATTTCTTGAGCCTATTCATATTCTTAACGAATAAGAGAATTAGTGTAAACGGGTTTCGGTTAATAATATATTCTAATAACGTAACATAAATACTAAAAATAAACGTAAAAATGAATTGAAAATCATCTTTTTTCTTAAAATCGGTTAAAAAATTTAAAATTCGACACTAATTTTAACTATGGGACACTCATAAAGATACTCGTATCTGACGACACGTTTGGCTCAGTGTGTAGTGGCCCTACTTTCTGTGCCGGTGGTCGCGGGTTCGAGTTCTGCTGGGGGCATTCATTTGTGTGATGACTCCAGTCATGGGTGTTTATATAGGCATTCATTTGTGTGAAGACTCCAGTCATGGGTGTTTATATTTATAATATGTATGTATTTAAAGTTATATATGTGTAGTGTATCAACTATCTGGTATCCATAACACAAGCCTCGTAGCTTACCATGGAACTAGATGGTGCTGTATGTTAATGTCCCAACGTATTACACACTTCCCTCCCTCATCCACAATCCCTCAAAGCCTAATAGTGGTGATTATTACTTTATATGCCTCGTAAAGCATGTATGGGCTCTACGAGTCTATACATGTTTAACTTTTGCTATAAGTTTAACTTTTGCTTTAACAAAAAACGCTCTGATCTTTCTTTCGTAACACATTTACCAATAAAATAGGGCTTCATAGAACAGTGGTTAAAGCACTTAGCAAAAGTTCTCTTGCTCTATGTAATATATTTTTTTTTAAATATGCTTTTATCGCTTCTTCCTTAACCTTTTTACAAAACACATTGTCTCTCACTCTGTTTATACGTTTTTGAACCTATAACTCGAGAATGACTTATTTGATTTAGTACCGCAATTCTTAAAAATGTAAGCAAATGTATTGAAAGAATGATTAATGATTATAATAACCTATCAATTTGTAACAGGCAATTAAAACTTCTCAGCCTACTTGCTGCTACTAGAGACAGTAAAAATGTTTCTATAAATAAAATAAAAACATATTACATAAAAAATGGAAGTATCTACTATATACCTAATGAAATATACTAAAATATACTATGCAACTATAATCTAGGAATCTTAGTATTATTTATTCAATTAATGTTCGTGAAATAGATTCAATTATATCGTGCCTATGATAGGGAGCTCAAGGCCAAAAATATTGTTGTTATTTGAAAAAGATAAGTTATGTACTAAATATTTATAGTTATAGATATCTCAGTGAAAGATGTTCAATACGCAATCTATATAAATAAAAATGGATGTTGTTAAGCGTAAAACTCGATTACGGCTGAACTTTTTAGGCTAATTTTTTTGCAAATATTCGGTGAAGTCCGGGGAAGGTTTTTATGAGGAAAAATATTAGAAAAAATCACGGAAAAACGTATAAATCACTTTTTTCTTTTTCATCACTACTACATTATTATTATGAACGCAACCTTAAAATTAATATAAACTACTTGAATGCATTTATATATTTGGCACTTTCTTTCTCAAATTACAATTTGACGTTGACTTTATTTATTTGTTTGTTTGTTTGTTTCTTTGTTTGTCCTTTTTCACGTCGAAATAAAGTGCCAGATTGTCGTGTTTTTTTTTGTGTGAAGATAGAGGGTGTAACATAGGCTACTTTTTACCATGGGAGATTATTTCGTTCCTACGGGAAAACAAGTTATATCTATTCCACGGTGAGTCGTTAATCGTTAAAACGTACCCTAGGGACATACCTGAGCGAAGCGAGGGTGAGTCAATAGTTGAACAATAATTATAAAAGGAGAGTAAACTAGTATTACATATATCAATAATTATATATGAATTATAAAAAAGGACATCATTTAAAAATTAAACAAATGTAAGGTATCAAGATCAGGAGTAGGAAATTTAGTAAATTAAATTGTTCTATTAATTACATTTCTCTTTGCAAATGAACGTCTATTCAAATATTGAGATACTTTTTCATATTCGCAATGTAAAGACTGAACTAGCATTAGTGCCTCTTTAGGTGCTCTAGCCCTCTGATCAAGAGGTTAGAGTGTCTCATCCAGTCTCCAACATAAGATCTCTCAGAATTTTAAAATAGAAGTTGCAAACAATGACTCTACACTCTACTTTATGGTAAAGGAATATTTTTATGAACAATAATAATAATTAATTACCTATATGGCTAACATAGCTAAATAGTTAATTATAACATCAATCAAAATTTACTCGAGTTATTTACGAGTAGGTATATAATCTAACAACTTTTTGGTTCTTGATTATAATATTATAGTATAAAATATTCTTTGAGCTTATTATTACATAATAAATTGCTTTCGACGGCGTAGCTATGCAATAGGCATATTTACTTAATACAATCGCAAGGCCGAAGCTTTTATTCTGATAAAGAACTTTACTTATAACTTATAAGTAACGTGTATTTATTTAAATATGACGAAACAGTATAAATATGTATTTGATTAAATATTTTTATATAAGAATAATTATATAATCTGACCCTTAGCCATTGCTTAGAACAAGAAACTGAAAGTGATTCATTTTTTATTTACAGCTTTTGAGAATTGGTTAGTTAGAGACATTTTCAATTTATTCTATATTATATATTTTTAAACATATTAATTGTATATTTTTGTAATCGCCTTTTAAAAACCTGTATTTTATTTTGATACCCCACTCGATTAATTCGAACGAATTTTTTTTTTCAAGATACACAAATTGGCGTCTAAGATCGACCATTTTGAATTTTGATGATATCTATAGGTACATATATTCTATTACACTCGCGTTGTCAAGATGAATCTAACGACGTATAAATTGTCAAAATCGGTTAAGCCGTTTAGTAATTACGAGGGAATTCAGCGGAACCTATGGTACATACGGGACATACACACATACATACAGGTCAAACACATAACTCTTCTTTGGGTTGGTCGCAGTCGAGTAAAAAGTGAAATATTGAAATCAGTTTAAAAGTAATTATTCTTTCTCATAGGTAGGATTTTTCTTTAAATTAATTGGGGACCATCCTTGAGCTTCCATTAATATAAATGTATATAGTATGTATGTACATATATATATACAATATAAATACATTGATTCGACGACACATTTGGCTCAGTTTGTAGTGATCCTAATTGCTGTGCCAACGGTCGCGGGTTCGAGTCCCGTTGGGGGCATTCATTTGTATGATGAGCACGAACGTTTGTACTCCAGTCATGGGTGTTTATATTTATAATATGTATGTATTTAAAGTTACATATATATGTAGTGTATCAACTATCTAGTATTCGTAACACAAGCTTTGTAGCTTGCTATGGAATAGAGGGTGCTGTGTAAACTGTATTAATGTCCCAACATATTTATTATTAGGTATTATTTTGTTTTCCCTATGAATCCTCCTGTTTCTAGTATTGAATGAGAACAGTGTTTGTGTTAGGCAACTGCATTGAATGCTATTATTAGATTAGGGTCGATCCGAAGGCTTAGTGGCAGGGCGCGCCACGCGATCTGGTAATCGATTGCCTCCGCCCACCTCTCTCGATCTTGTCCCAACAAACATGCTTTGCCACTTTATTTGCTTTAAAATCAATTTATAACAGACTAATATTTTGTGATATGAATATGTTGTTTAAAGGACAGGTGGAATATTGAATTTAGACAAAATGATTCTTCGTATACACGAGAAGTAATAAACTTATGTAAAATATACTACACTAATTAAACTAAACTATTTCAGAGCTCTGTAGTCTGTATAATTTATATCACTTTAAACAAAATTATTTCATAGTTATTTATAGCTATATAAAGCGGCACTGTCTCTTATATAACCATTGTCTCCATGCTCGGACTGAGGGGTTAATATGTTAGTAGGGCACACTTAGGTGCGTGAATAAATAAAAGAGTCGGCTCTGTCGTCAATCAATTATTCAGTTAATAAAAGCTGCCAATTTTAATGCAGTTAACCTGTTTGTCTATTTTTAGCACACTATACATTTTTTCTTTGTTATTTCACTATAGTAAAAATAAGCTTGGCTAAAGAGCAGCTGCTCGCGTCAAGGGTTTTAGTAACAAAAGACGTGAGTAGGTACGTCAAAAGAAGTACAATTAAAGAAACTACTAGCTATTGTGAATGTTATGTTTGTAAGAAAGATTATATGACTTATTTAGCTTGTTATTGTGTGATAATAAAAAAACAATTTACGATAATCATAATTAAAGAAGTATTTTTTTAAAAGGTTATGCGAGAGACCATGGTTGCTGTGAAGCATTCGAAACGAAAATTAAAAATCAAAATAAATCAGCATAAAATCCGAAAAGATGGTTTTATTTAAAACTAGCGGCTCACCCTCGCTTCGCTCGGATTTCTCGCTAGGAAAACGAAAACAAACCTATTCCACGGGAACCGTACATTTTTCCGGGATGTAAAGTAATCTATGTGTTATTCCAGACTATAGTCTATCTCTGTGCTAAATTTCATGCAGATCCGTTCAGCCGTTCTGGCGTGAAAGAGTAACAAATATCCATACTCACATACTTTCACATTTATAATATTTATATAGATATTAAATATTCACGCAAATATAAGAAAGTATTAGGTCATTTTTGTAACATTTTCAGATTCTCCTTGTGTGTTGCAGTTAGTACCAGATGGAGCTGAGGGTGGCAGGATGAGCTAGCGGCATGGGGGGCGAGGGGGCGGGCCGCGGCGCGCGCTGGCACGTGGGCGACTCGCCCCCGCGCGCGCCCATGGGCTTCGCGGCGCCGGCGCCCGATGCGCCGCTCGACCGCGGACTTGCGCCAGCGCCTGCGCCCGCGCAAACAGCCGCCGCAGCCACAGCTGCGCTACAGCGGGCGCACTCTAGGTATTTAATAATAATGTCTTCCTGACCCATTTCGGCTAAGGCAGCCAATCTCACTGACACTAGCCATGTAAGCAGGAAATATTCTAGTGCACAATACCTGTCACTCTTATATTTTGGTGAAACGACCATTAGACACGACAAGTGAAACATCAGGGACGTTTACGTGCTTTCTAAGGCACGGGGGTGAAATACGACCAACTTCCCAACTTGCGGCTTCGCCCGCGTTCAAACTTCCGATCACTATATCCCCATTTGGGCTAATCTCAAGATTGCCTGAAAATTTCTTCACAATCGCTTCAGCCGTTTTGGAGTCCATAGGGAATATACATACCCATATCGATTTTTATACATTTATAATGTTTTTCGGCAATATCAAATACATATAACAAGCATAGACATATTCGAAAAAGTAGAATGTTTGATGTTTGGTGTTAATTATAGATACCTAAGCTCAGTTTGAATTACATATTTTCAGATCAATGTCTTCTTTACCGCCAGAGCCTTTTATGATGCTGAGAGCGAAAGCTCTCAGCAAACGTGTGATAATTAATGTCGGCGGAGTACGACATGAGGTGCTATGGCGAACGCTCGAGCGGCTGCCACATACACGTCTCGGCAGGTTGCGTGACTGCAACACTCATGAGGCTATAACAGAATTATGTGATGACTACTCCCTACAAGATAATGAATACTTCTTTGATAGGTAATATATTCAATATACAAATATAAAAAAAATTACAAAGCTTTTCGCTAATCTGTATCTATTAAGTACATATAACAATCGTACGAAAAAATTAAAAAGAGAGTTATCTGGACCGTGTGTTGTATTTGTAATAAAAGAACGTTTCTCGTCAAAAGCGCAGATACAACCAGCTTTATTTCTAGGTTTATATATGTTACATGCATGGGAGTGTGTATGTGTGTTCTCAGCAAAAAAAGGACCCTTCGGTCCATAAACTATCTGTCCTTAATTTATTATAGCGTTTTAAATCATTGTGTTGCATTTGCGTTGTTACATTTTATAATAATAGATCCATCTGAGAAGGATATAACGATATAAAATATAAAGAAACCACATTTTACAATAAAAGATTTGTGTGAATGTGATCGTTGGGTTACATAACTATATTTTTAGAATTTTATTAATTAAGTAATATGTTTGGGAGATTTTTTGAAAGCAATAGAAGTTACCTATCCATACATATAATAAAATTGTAACATAAATAACATAAATTTTACTACATTTGTTACTCTATATATTAATATTTGCTAATATATTTTCAGGCATCCGAAGAGTTTTAGTTCTATCTTAAACTTTTATCGGACTGGCAAATTACATTTGGTGGACGAGATGTGCGTATTGGCGTTTAGTGATGATCTAGAATATTGGGGTGTCGATGAATTGTACCTGGAATCTTGCTGTCAACATAAATATCATCAACGGAAGGAGCATGTTCACGAAGAAATGCGCAAAGAAGCAGAAAGCTTGCGGCAGCGAGAAGAAGAAGAGTTTGGACAGGGGACCTGTGCTCAATATCAAAAATGGCTGTGGGATTTGCTCGAGAAACCCACTACGAGCATCGCAGCTAGGGTAACGTATTGTATGATGCTCATATGAAAATCGCGATAAATATCTTAACTTATGTAATTTTAGCAAGCTGCCCAGGAATTTAATTTAGATGTAAAGGTATTAAGACTGAATTTCTTTAGCACTGACAACTGTTTCTGTAATATTAGAAACTAAAGTAGTTATAGAGCTTGGGTACATTGTGAGCTAAGATGACTATTTTACGCTACCGCACAGTCTTTTAATAGTTATATTTTGATGAATACTGTTACACAATCATTACTTTCATATTGACAGGTACACTATACACTGTGCACTGTTGTAAATTGTTTATATTTATCAAACACAAGATATCCATGTGCAAAATCTAACAAAACTTGTAATATAGTTTAAAGCAGCACCTTATATATAATATAATTAAATACTTTCCTCACATTATATAATATAAGACACTGATATTACTGAATTTTGTATAAGTAGGTGTTTAAGCATGAAACAGATGGATTGTAATGAGCTGTCAATGTTGTACTTGTGGTGCATGAATAACATCTATCACATCTATCTTCGGCGTAGACAGTTTTCATTTATTTAATGAACGTGGTGTTGTGTTCCGATGTTGTATATTGTGTGTTTTGATCGCTTTTGTCGAAATTTGCCTCTTGTTCTTGTTTAAAAATATGTGTAGAAGCAAATCTGTACTATACCTAATTATTTTATTTTCGACAACAGCGACGTAAAGGCCTACATCTGTAAGTATATTAATAATACCTATATACATACTATATATGTATATGTTCCTGATTTATAAATAAGTTTAGGGTTTTAACTTTATACATATTGATTCTATTATATTCATACCTACCACTTCGAATGGTGAATTTGCGTAAGTAACACTAATATAATCTTTTAGGCTACGTTCTTATAAGAATTATTTTAATTAATGAATTTATGGCAATTTTACAATTGCCTAAAATTAAATGAAATAAATGTAGCCAGTGATAAAAAAATATATTAAGAGAATATTTTTCAAAGGCTTTTTAGAAACTCTACATAATCATCTTAACTAAAAATGTAGCCTAAATGACAATACAATGTTTTATAAGCTTTGGTTATTCGGATTTTATCTCATTAAGACAGATATAAAAATCTATACGTATATTTGTATACCACGAAGAGTATGTACCGAGTCATTTAACTATCGTTCATTTCATGCATTTTCATTTGTGGGTGTGATAATACACAAAAAAATTTAAAGAGTGCTAGTATCAGTCTACACGCGCAAGAAGTGAAACTTCTGTAGGTTATAAGTACTTTTTATATGAAATTCAATTAATGTTTTAAATAATTAGGATAGAAGAGATACAAATTTTTTTTCTATCTATTTAAAAAGGAAAACAATATTTTATTATTCATATACTACAAATGGTGGATAAATTTCCGAAAAACCCATACCTTTTATTAATCTGAAATTAAGTACACATATTATGTATGTATTTTGACGTGCTGATTACGAATATGTTATCTATACATATAATAAACTTGTAACTAAGCCGAATCTGTACATTAAATATTTTTTGGAAAATCTTATTGAAATAAACATTTTATCGATACAGAGGCCGAATATATAGTTTTTAGAATTTTTGTCTGTCTGTCTGTTACCGCATCACAGAAAAATCACTTTAGGGATTTTGATGAAATTTGGTATGATGATAGCTGGTTATCCGGGTCAACATATAGGATACTTTTTCCTACGGGAAAATATCTCATTTCTGAGAAAAAAAAATACAAAAGCTGCAATGTAAGAGTATACTAATATGTAAAACCTAAGAATTTGGTTTTCGGTCACCTGAACGCGGGCGAATTACGCATAGCGATATAGACAGTTTCAAAGAATTTTTGAATACACTTTTTTGGCACGTGTGGAAAAAAATATGAGAGTAAAATTTTTACGATGCGCGCGCACATCGACAGACGAAAGGTGACATCATGAATTTAACATAAAGCGACATGATGAAGCTAGTTGCATTCCTTTTACAAACAGAGCTATTTTTATTCTGTTACGCCAGAGAAGTAGGTATAACTTCTTACGTACATACATATATACCTATACACGTTTTTTTACTAGAAGTTCTAGTCGCTTATGGCACTCGCTGGCCGCTACCGCGGCACACTCGCTTCGCTCGCTCGGCTCGTGCGTTGTGGTCTCGGTTCTAATCTAGAAAAAAAAACGTTTTTTCGGAGTAAGGCGTAGCTCCCGTCTTAGTCTAAGTCGGACCTACCACTTAACCAAATTTAGTAATTTAAATTTACCTTACCTAACGAGAAGGTTAAGGGGGCATTTCTCTCCCCAACTACAGGCTCAACAAGAAATGTCAATCTTTTTATGACCTACAACTTGTGTGAGAAACATTTTCCTCTAAAATCAATATTTATCACAATAAATAACCGTGAAAAAAAATAATAACATTTTTTCTGAATTTTACCTTAAAGATGAGATATGCGCGTTACTCAAAAAGTAGGTAACATATTTGTTATCAGCGCGTTAAAATCCATGCCTATGTATATCTACCAAAATTTAGATTAATTGGAGGTATAGGATATACCGAAGTACCTACACCACAGATGGTGTTAAGATAAAATTTAATTTGCAATCATTCAATAAATTATATACTCCAGTAAAATAAATAATAATACAGGGATGCAAATTTTTTTGTGAATAAATATATTTGACGACACGTTTGGCTCAGTTTGTAGTGACCCTGCTTTCTGTGTCAGCGGTCGCGGGTTCGAGTCCCGCTGGGGGCATTCATTTGTGTGATGACGAATGTTTGTACTCCAGTCATGGGTGTTTATATTTATAATATGTATGTATTTAAAGTTATATATGTGTAGTGTATCAACTATCTGGTATCCATAACACAAGCCTCGTAGCTTACTATGGAACTAGATGGCGCTGTGTGTTAATGTCCCAACATATTTATTTATTTATTTATTTATATATTTACAATGTAGAAAAAATATTTTTAGTAAATAATTTTTTTTTAATTATTTCAAGTATCATAATTGCTACGTTTCCATCGCACATTTAAAATAAATGAAAGAAGTATTTATTTATAAATATCTATTTAATTATTTTTTTGAAATATTCATATAATAGTTTAAATAATTTTAATTTTTAATTGACTATTTTTTACTTCCGTAACGTACCGTTTCCGTTACTAAAATCGTAAGGTAAATTCTTTTTTTCCCCTCTTTAGGCGCGCCTAAAGAAGTTTCACTTCAAAAAAATTTCGAAAAGAAAGACAAAAAACTTTTACTTAGTATTTATTTGGTAGTTTCCGCAAAAATACCGAGCTAAATAATATAAAGAATATATTATTAACAAAAACCTAGAATGTATATTTAAAGCCTTACTTGAAATTTCTCTATTCAGACAGTGGTATTCAAATACAAAAAAAACAAAGTGGCTTTGAGATCCTTTATTATAGAATAATAGTGTTAAGTGCAGGTAAAATGGGAAGCTTACCCGTAGCGTCGTGGTAAAAAGAGGTAACATGTCATATTTATATGCATTTTTTATTTTTTGGTAATTTAGACTCATATGAAGTATTTTTTTTTATCAAAGCTACTTTATTATTACAATGCAATAATTTTCGTTTAAGAACACTATAAAATATTTAGGGAGGCTTTAGTGCCTTTTTGATATTGCTGTTACAAATAATTTTTAATGTTCACAGCCGCGTGGAATGCTCTCGAAAAGAGAGCACGTTCAAAAAACAAAGCTTAATTGTTGTCGTAAAAAATGCAAATATGGGATGGGCTTACGCGATGTGACCAGCCGCTGCCGGCATCGCTCCGTGGCCCGCGTGCGGGGTGGCACGGGACGGAGGGCACGCCCTGCGGACCGCTGTCCGCCGTGCGCGCACCGCGCCCGCGCCGCCCCCCACTACGGCTGAGCGTCGCCCGCCGGCGCCTCGCACCCTCCTCGTTCCCACTCTATCCCACCAAAACCCACCAGCGCTTCCGCTTCGTCGTACTGATCCAACTAACGTAAACAATGGACGAACGAGCGTTCTACGTAGCAGTTTACGTCTTGTCTATGCTTTCACTAAACGCATGTCCGTCCATTTTTGTACATGTAATTTTCTTATTTACTACACCGACCACACAACACTACTAACATAAATACACTAATAGATGTTATTATGACGCCGAAAATATTCTTAAGTTACGCTACATACATGATTATAATCAACCTATGTTAAATACTGTAAATTATATTTAACATTGTACAAAAGTGTTATTGTCTGCTGTATAGACACTCGCATAACTTACACATAATGTTCTACTTCTTTTCTCATACCGATACTTACATGATTAAATCTTTAACGTGTGACAGTACGGTGGTGGGGAGCGACTTTCGCTCAAACATTGCCTGTTTGCAGGTGATCGCAGTTATTTCGATCCTCTTCATCGTGCTGTCCACAATAGGGCTCACTCTCAACACCATTCCTCAAATGCAAGTATACGAGAATGGCACGCTCATCGACAATCCACAGCTGGCCATGGTCGAAGCCGTGTGCATCACGTGGTTTACGCTTGAGTACGTGCTGCGATTTAGTGCCTCACCGGATAAGTGGAAGTTCTTCAAGGGTGGACTGAACGTTATTGATTTGTTGGCTATATTGCCCTATTTCGTGTCTCTCTTCCTACTCGAAACTAACAAAAATGCGACGGATCAGTTTCAAGATGTGCGTCGTGTTGTGCAAATCTTTCGTATAATGCGAATATTACGTATTTTAAAACTAGCTAGACACTCGACCGGGCTACAATCGCTTGGTTTCACACTCAGAAATTCTTATAAAGAGCTCGGACTGCTCATGTTGTTTCTCGCAATGGGAGTACTTATATTTTCTTCACTGGCATATTTTGCCGAAAAGGAAGAGCCGGGGACTAAATTTATTTCTATTCCGGAAACGTTCTGGTGGGCCGGCATCACCATGACCACAGTCGGATACGGTGACATTTACCCCACGACCCCGTTGGGCAAGGTCATCGGCTCAGTTTGCTGTATTTGCGGCGTGTTGGTAATTGCGTTACCCATCCCCATTATCGTCAACAATTTCGCCGAGTTTTACAAGAATCAGATGCGGCGTGAAAAAGCTCTCAAGCGGCGTGAGGCACTCGAGCGCGCTAAGCGGGAGGGTTCTATAGTCTCCTTCCACCACATTAACTTGCGCGACGCGTTCGCCAAGAGCATGGATCTCATCGACGTCATTGTGGACACAGGTCAGTAAAAACCACACTTGTTATGCCTATTGCTTGTCCATGTCATGGTTCCTTTGCTCGTTATATAACTTTCCCTCACTGTCTGCACGCATGCTTTCTGTGTTCAGTGCTCGATTTTGCATAAGACTTAATGAATGCGAAGGATGCTGGTTGAGTGCACGTCGCATCGTTTAGCTCTCCGGACTCGCAGGCATACTCAAAATCAGAACAGTTCACGTTACATCGCAGCTACAGCTATTTTCACTCGTTCGTTCCAAAGAGGTGTATCAGAGTATTTTATTCCTTGTCTTCAGGTGACAAATGCGTCCTCATTGAGGCGAGAGACGACGCCAGATGAGCTACTTGCTACTATCGCACAGTCGTCATGCTCGGCCCCTTATTATTATGTTCGTAGCTCGGGGTCGGGTTCGCGTCGCGTGTAGCTTGCGATGTGCGACGAAGACACTTTATCTAAGGTCGATTACATTGTCAGCGTAAGCCTAACGCTTCATAAAACTAACACTCATTTCTTCTGTGGACTGTACGTTGTGTGTATCCGGAGAACGCTGGATTTCTTAGACTGTTCGTGTGGAATGTGTGTCTTGTAGTTCACGCCGCTTCATTTATTGTTCTAAATGTTCTTTACTTCGTACTATAAATTTATAAAATGATATTATATAAGTAAAACGTAAACTTAGTATATATACGGTAATGTGAGCGCTTTATGGAAATGGGGGCTGAAACTGAAAGCGTTGCTACTTAAGATGGTATGTGTCTCCAGGACACAACCTGTCACAAGCGGATGCGACTAGTCTGGAAGGCGAAGCGCCGGTCAGCACTGGCTGTTACAAACAGTATGAACACGGTCTTGGCAATAAGATACCGCAGACTGCTGAGAACATTCAGGTAAGACTTAAGACTTTGTTTTAGGGTGCGTCCTTGATTATTACCTGCTAGTAAACAAAATGTCGCTTATTTTTAAGTAATAATAATATTGTGTTTACTAGATTTATTTTTTATATATTTACAAGCTTAACGGCTCACTGCAGTTGTATCATTTGCGGTAGCAAAGTTTTAAATTAAAAAAATACTAAGTATAATATGTCTATAGTTGTTTTAATATTTTATGGATATTTTCACTATCAATTCATGCTTAGTTCTAGCAGTAAGCTCCTATCTAAGTATAAACGATCTTCTTACTTAACCGTTTCGACTTTTTGGACGCACCCTTGAGTAGTATTAGATATTAAGGATATTTCTATAGGTATTTAAACGCTTGTAATAATTAACACACCAGGATGTAGTTTCAGAGCAGTCCTAAAAAGGAACAACACTACTCAAGCGAGGGCTTGGGCACGCCGGAGAAACGCTTGCTTATTAATCCTGATCTGACACCAGTAAGACATTATTTCACCAACCACCATCGTGGCTACGCTTCTTAATTTAGACATATTTAGAATTAATGTTAGGTTATTAAATATTTAAATATTACTTACCATATTATATTTAATAGATATATATGTACGTTTATAATAAAATGACAACCACATGATGCCAACAAAACCATTATATAATGCTGAGAATATTTTTAATGATTGAGCTTGGTATCTACTTGGCCGCTTTGTTATTATAGATAGTGTCATTGTGACTTTATTTAATATTAACATAAAACTAGTTTAGGTAGCATAATATGTCCATTTGTTATAACAACTAATATTTTCTTTTCTAGGAAAAGAAGATGGCTGAAAAACAGCTTGACTTGGATCAGCTGCCTTCTGAGTTTGAATGTTGTTTTTGCACGTTTAAGGTACTAAACCCTAACACACCGTTTGTATGCGTTGTGCTACTAATAACTTAACATTGATATGAGCGTGTTACTGATTTTATTTTAATTAATTTATTTTTCCATTAGCATTAACCAGTAAGTACCTACGTGCTTTACATATTTTTATTTACAATTGATTAGATTTATTTGAAAAATTTAATACTGTAATCTTGTCTTTTCTGCCTTTAGCTTTAAAAGGAATTGGATTTTCCCATTTATCTAGTCAATTGCAGGTTTTTGATATTTTTATTCATATTACACTTACAAATAAATTATTAGTACATATGTACATACCTACAGTAATGTGAATTTGAATAAATACGTAGTTAAGAATTTTCATTTGTTATATATATTGTGTGTGCCAAAAAATGACGATATTTTTTTTTTCGCTCTCACCCCAGAATATCTTAGAAAATGTCCGAACAAAGCTCCTGTTAAAAGCGGAGCTCAAAATTCTACTCAAAATTCTAATTCTAAGAGGTTCTCCATCGAACTTTAAGTTTTCCCATACAAATTGTATGGAAAATATGATTTTTTACAATTTTTTGTCCTGCAAACTATGACGAAAATATTTTTCAAAAAAATGAATGAATGGACCGGACCGTTTTTACTATTAAATTTACTACAAAAAGTTCCATTGAGTCGAATTTCTATCTTCAATATTTTATTTATTATATAGCTTTAAAGTTCAAATTTATGGTTTTTTGCATTTTTTAGCTAAACTGTAAGAGTTACAGAAAAATGTTAAATGGCAAATTTGTAGTACGTTTAAAATCCTATAAAGAAGTCCTTGTCAACTTTTTCATATCATCAATAACAACAAAGTTACAGCCTCACGAATATTTATTTTTTCAAATTTTTGCTCTTACGAACTGAACTGAAATACGATAATTTTATTACTGATGTTTTATGTCCTTTATCAATATATTTTATAATATACTTGAAAAATCATTAAAATATGTCAAATATGAAAAAAGTCTGTTACTATTAACTATTGATAATACAAAATACATGATCTATCTAATTTTGTACCATTTTTTTTTGTTGAATTATCGATATTTCAGTTCGTAAAAGCAAAAATTTGAAAAAATAAATATTCGTGAGCCTGTAACTTTGTTGTTATTGATGATATGAAAAAGTTGACAAGGACTTTTTATAGGATTTTAAACGTACTACAAATTTGCCATTTAACATTTTTCTGTAACTCTTACAGTTTAGCTAAAAAATGCAAAAAAACATAAATATGAACTTTAAAGCTATATAACAAATAAAATATTGAAGATAGAAATTCGACTCAATGGAACTTTTTGTAGTAAATTTAATAGTAAAAACGGTCCATTCGTTCATTTTTTTGAAAAATGTTTTCGTCATAGTTTGCAGGACAAAAAAGTTTAAAAATCATATTTTCCATACAATTTGTATGGGAAAACTTAAAGTTCGATGGAGCACCTCTTAGAATTAGAATTTTGAACTCCGCTTTTAACAGGAGCTTTGTTGGGACATTTTCTAAGATATTTTGGGGTGAGAGCGAAGAAAAAAAAATTTCTTCATTTTGTGGCACACCCTAATATATATATTAACTGTTTTTAGTATTCTTAATATTATAATCACGAATAATATATTAAAATTATGTTATTTTATATAGGGTTACAGAGAGTTCATAGACGCGGAACAACTGATGCCAATGCCGACGTCGGATCTCCGCCAGCCGGTGTGCGTAGAGTTAGCATGCCTTCAGCGACACCCAGCACCGCGTGCGCTGCCCGAAGCGACTCCCAACAGTCTTGACAGCCCCGGTACATAACACATAATATACTCGAAGCACAAAAAGACATGATTTATTCAGATTTTTCAAAATGATTAAAAATTTTCTTTTACTACTTATTTACTTAAAAGTTAACGGATTTTTTATTTAATTTTTTTTTCCTTTTTGTACATGGAATTATAAAACATTTATATTTAAAGTAATATATCTAAGTATAACTATAAAAATATTGCATATAGTTTAGCCCTCTATATACATTATACATATATACATATTATACTCATTCGTTATGGAAAGTCTGACTAAGTATTTTTTTGTATATAATCTTTACTATAACTCATGCAGATAAAGAATGGGACAATAAATGGCGCCTACGTTCACTCATCACCATTGTTATAAATTATAGACCGCACACAGTGACACATTCGTTAACATAGACAAAAATGACCTAGTATATTATTATAATATTACGAATTATTTTATGTTTAATTTAAAAGTTCTGGACGAAAAGAATATATAAATAGTTCACTACTACTTTGTAATAAATATAATATAATATTTTATTAATAATATTATATTATATTTATTACAAAAACAACATAAATATAATATAATATTATTAATATTTTATTAATAATATTATATTATATTTATTACAAAATAGTACTGAACATTAAAAAATTAAGTTATGTTTTAATTCCAAATATATAACATTACTAGGATGAAAACGCAATTTAGTAATTTTATTAACAAAATAACATTATTTTTAATTAAACTATAGCTATTACGGCAACAGTATAGAAATGAGCTGCCAATAGCCATTTCTTATTACATTCTTTATTTGCTCGGGTAACCTTCACCATGACGGCATTGTGAGAAGACCAAAAATTTTCTTTTTACTATTTTCACATTCTTTATCTATTATATGTATGTTTATGTCATATTTTCAAAGAGTGACTAAAATTTTGTTTCCCCTGTGCCTGTAGAAAAAATATCGAAAAATGTATCCTCACAAATACACTGTACCTACACAGTACACAGTAGCACCACAATACTTTTGTTTTAATCAAGCGACCCACGCATCATACGATCTGGGAGTTCGTGGTTGCATATGCGTGTATGTCTTACGTTGCAGATACATTTGCATCATGCCTTACGCACCCTTTTCCTTCAGAGGGCGACATCACGTGCGAAAACGACTCGTCAAACTTGTATGTGAATCCCTTGGACGGTAGCGGCGGTGGCGGGGCGGGTGAGGAGGGGGTCGGGGGCGTGGCACCAGATTTTAGCGGTGTGCGCAAGAGCGCCTCGGGGGATAGGACTGTTTTGTGTGCGAAAGGTTCGCAGGGTGAGGGCTCACCGCGGGGGTCTCGCGGCAGCTTGTCCGGCGTGGCAGCGACCGCGTGCGCTAATGTCGAGTTAAGCAAGTTTGATGCTTCGCGCTCGAGTCTGCCGCATCAGATAGATGACATGCCCGCCGCCGCCGAGGACGTCAAGCCCAAACATAGAAAAGCGCGCTTTCAACAGGTCAGTTTGCGTTTAGCACACACGGCATAGCTGACCCGCACTGAATCGCACAAGGGCGGATCCGAGAATCTCTATAATTTATTACAACGGATTCTCTTTGGCTTTTTAATAATAAACGCAGATTACACAAGTAGTTAACTTAGGTAAGTACCTATTATGAACAGGTGTTGACAAAATTTCGCATGTCTAAATGGATCCGGCCCTCAAACTTTGCAAGCGCCTGATACTAAAGGCAAACCTGATACCTTACTGTAGATATTAATAAGATGCAAGTTCAATTATTTACATGTTGTTTGCATGTTGTTAAAACCCGACAAATCTTGCAACTGTATACTGCACGAACACTGTACTATGGTTAAATGCTTAAATCCTTAAAACAATTTACACGGCATAAACAAATTCTACACAGGAGTGGCCGGAGGAGGAGAAGAGGCCGCCGAGAGGCATAGCGACGAGAATAATTAATCATCATATATTGTTTGGTAAGAAATTTTCATGTTGTAGTAAATAAGTATTTTTTTATGTTATTTCAATTTACACAATACAAGCAGTACCCGCGGCTTCCCCCGCGTCCAAACTTCCGATCGCTAACAAAATTCACAGGATCACCCGCTGGGCTAATCTGAAGATTACATGAAAATTTCATCAAAATCGCTCCGGCTGTTTTGGAGTCCATAGGGAACATACAAACACACATCGATTTTTATTTTATTTAATTAACAATTTAAATTTATTTCTTGCTCGGAAAATGGAGTCTTTTATGAAAATTTAGCGACGCACCGACTGCAGCGCCATCTACCGGATACGTTCGTGAATGCAAACCTTGCACTGACCCACTTAAACATACAAAAAAAATATCACTAAAATCGTCCCTGCCGTTTAGAAGATGAGATAATATAGAGATAAGTGGCACAACGACTGCAATGCGATCTACCGGTTTAATTGTGTTTTCAAACCATCCAGGAGCCCATTGAAATATACACACAAAATTCATCCAAATCGGTCTAGCCCTTTAGGAGAAGTAGGTTAACAAACACACGTACAGAAGAATTATATATATTAAGAGTTATGTTCACATAATCGATATAGTAATTAAAAAATCACTTTTTTATACAAGAAACCAGAAACTGTTTGCTGTAAAAAGTAGCTTTATTAAAATGTCAAATATAAGTAGCAAATCTAAGTACGTAAAAATTCTGTAGATTAATTTGTATTTGTATTTTGTAGGCAAAAACGGCAATAAGCGCGGAAGTGGCGGCTGGCCTAACGAGAGCGATTCGAGATCACGGTCCATACTCAAAAACAAAGAGTCCCGGGGCACCGACAGTGAATTGCTCCTTCAGGAGACCACCTCCCTCGGTGCTAACGTAAAATATTATTCAGTTCTACTTTGTTTTTACTATGAAGTAACCTTTGCTAACTTAGTTAGTCAGTCAGTCAGTTTAGTTAAAAGCATAAATGTGTGAAATTCACTCATAGGTAAAAAAACTTAAGTAAAATAATCAATAAACTTAAGTAATATCTGCAGTTTGTAGGATAAATTGAGAATGAAAATATTGGTGATGGAATAGTTAGAATTTTTTTAATTCATGTCTATTACTTACTTGAAATTTTCTCATAATTTGTTATGGATTCTATTGTTAAAGCTACATTGCATTAGGTAGATGCCACCTATAAAAGATCTAGCTTCACCAAAATCTGTTGTCAAAATGGAGAACGGGTGATGCTAATTTCAATTTATTAAAACTAAACAATTAACTAAATATGAAATGAATACTGTATAAAATAATACCTATATATTTTCAAAATCTTATCATTTTAAACAAATATTCAATTTGAATTCCTTCAAACTATAGATAATTTAAGTATGTTCAAAAAAATAATTTAACACATTACTTTTCCAGGGTGACTCCGGCAGCGAGTCCTCACCTATTCGTCTAAAAGACTTCAAGGGCCAGAACCACAAAGGCGGTGCGTCCGACCGGAGCATCGTCTCGTAGAGCCTACACCGTAGACGCAACCGCGCCACGCCCTTTTACGCGTAGATGTTTGATAGTTGCGTACTCAAAAAATATACTTTCATACATTAATACTTAGAACGCAATAAAAATACATAAAAATAATTTTAACATATCATTGGGCGATTGTGACTGCTTGTTGATAGATAATTTTCATTTGTAGAGTTATTATAAATATTGTAAAAAAATATTATATTACTTATTGTAATAATCGTTCATTCCAATCGAAAAGTTGAGTGTAACTATTTGTTAAGTTTTTTTACGTGCAATTATTAATTGCTAATTCTAATTTAAGCGAATATAGTTTGTACAGCATAGTTGAAGAAAAAAGAAGCAATTATTAAAATTAAAAGATTTTCTGAAATTGTTCACTTTTGTTTTATTTTCAACTAGCGATTCACCATCGCTTCGCTCGGGTATCGTATCTAGGTACGTTTTAATTTTTTTTTAAGCGGAACCCTAACTCTTTTTCTAAAATAAAAGAAGCCTATGTTACTCCCTATAACATCAGCTATCTTCCAGTGAAAGTTCCGTCAAAATCAGTCCAGCAGTTTCAGAGATTATCCGGAACAAACAGACAGACAAAATTTTTAAAAATTGTGTATTTCTTATAAGTACCATAGATAATTTCATATGCATTTAGTAAAAAGCTGATAACAGCGTTTAGTAAAGTCAACATAAGTTGACATTAGAAACAGACGCTTCAATTTTATTTATCTGTATAGATATATAGACGAGGGTTGACGTCAGGCAGGCGGCCGATCGTCCCCCCCAACGTGCGTTCACCTTGTCGTGGTGGGGGGGCTCAGTAGTGCCCGGCAATCCAACCGGGCGCGAAGCTAAGAAACGCACAGGGAGGTTGCCCACTTCGGTGGGCGGTGGGAGGTGGCCCTCTTCGGGGGGCGGTGTACCATGCGGGTTGCTCCTGGTACTTCTCTGATAGCAGAGTGGACCTTGGAGCAACCCCATGGTTGTGGTGGTCTGCTTCGGCAGACCTGCCATCGGGGCGTCGTAGTTGAATGCGTAAGCGATCCTGCGACGCCCCATTAAGACGGGGGAAGGTTTTGTTGGGTTTTAGTGGGTAGTACTGGCTGTATTACGCCGGTGAGTCCCACACGTCGTGCGTAAATGCATTTCCCAACGTATAAAAAAAAAGGCGGCCGATCGTAAAACTTTTGCCAAATCCTTTCAGCAGTACAGAAGATGTACTGCGCCCACACCAAGTGATTGGGAAATGGGCAGGGAGAAGAAGAAGAAGATGTATAGACGAGATTTTTTCTTATCAATTATAGATATGTATATTTTAAGAATAATAATAGTATATTTACGAAGTCTACGCATACATTTAAAATATTATAAGCATAGAAATTCAAATGAAAGTAATTTATTTACGGTCGTTAGTTTGACTTTTATACATATTATAAAATTGTAACTAAGCCGAATCTGTACATTAAATATTTTTTGAAAAAAATATATAATTGAAATAGACATAATTATCGACACAGAGTCCGAATCTATAGTTTTTAGAATTTTTGTCTGCCTGTCTGTTACCACATCGCGAGAAAACCACTGGACAGATTTTGATGAAATTTGGTATGATGGTAGCTGGTTGTCCGGGTCAACATATAGGATTTTTTTACCGCGGGAAAATATCTCATTCTGAGAAAAAATACAAAAACTGCAATGTAAGAGTATACTAATATGTAAAACCTAAGAATTTTTTGGTCATCTGAACGCGGGCGGAGCCGCGGGCAATGCTAGTCTTACCTAAAAACGGATCAACGGTATTGTTTTGCTAAGTCTATAATGCGGAGGGTTTTAATCCCGATTCTCGGATTATAAAGTTTTTTCTTTCTTTACTTTTCGAATATTGATGAAGAATACAGTAAATATATTTTAAGCACAGGCATAAATAAAAAAAAGTATAGTAGTCAACAATGATATTTATTTTAAAGCAAACTTTAAAAATAATAAAGTGTATAAATGTAACATATAGTATTGCACCATTCCATAACAAGAACGTGCGAGTGAATTAAATATGAACATTTATAACTTAATACAATAAGCTTCGCGTTAAATTAATTTCATACAATACAATTTGAAATCTAATAAAATTGGGAAAGGTTTATCACAAACGTAAAAAATACATAATTTAGTGTGTTCCATAATACTAACTGTCATAGACATAAAATATTTTTTAATACTAAAAAGTACTTATCTTAAATAAAACGATAAAAGAGCCAACGAGGTTTCTGCCACCAGAGTACACTTGAAGTATTTATCCATGCCATTAATTCTTTACATATAATAATTCCTAATGAAAATATCAACTGTTGATGATTCTTTAGAGACTCAAAACAAGGAAGGCCTTGTTTTGATATACGACAACATAAATTTTATTATTATATACATATAAATAAATATTTTTAAAATCATTTATATGTTTCATATGTTTGTGACAAAAGGTACCTGGTGTGCAGCAAACTTTTAGCACTCGTTACTTTGGTTTCATGAGTTTAAATTAAATTGTAACACGCGTAAAATGTAGTTATTTACACTAGCCGGTTAGTATTAACAACGGATTTAAGGATACAATTATCTTCTATATTATTCTATAAATTATTTTTTTCATATGAACACACAGGCACCTTACTTCAAAACTTGGCTTAGAACATGGCACTATTATGTACACTTATTACCACTCGATGCCTTTATTTTATCTTTTTACATTATAATTATTGATAATACAAGCCGTGAACGAAAAAAATAATGTTTATGAAGCACTAACTAAAGCTGAAAGAATATCACAAAATTTGGCTTTTGTCATTACATTACGTATATTCGAAGATTTGAAATTAAAAAATGATTTTTATTATAAGTCAGATTAAATGTCGATTTTTTTATTTATATGGAAAATGCAATATATATGCTGGCAGTATGAAAGGTTAAACATTTCTTGCACACTATTTCTTAGAAGATAGACAGAGACAATAATATACAGCCTCTCCTTTTGCAATTAAATTTAAAACTACTTTTGTTACAAAAAATACATAGCAATAAATTATAAAATAGCAAGCATTTTTTGGGAAATGTAATTTTCTTACCCAGTAAAATAAAATCTCGAGTTATGAAAGTTAAACCAAAATTAGTAACGCGAATTACAATAAAAAGTGTTTGTAGATTAAAAAATAAATATATTTAAAAATATTCATTAAGTGCACGCTTTTAAAACAAATTAAATCTGTATGCATTATTGTAAATAAGGCGTCAGGCGTGACAGCGCAAAATTGGCCCGACCCATATTTACTCTTTAACACTACAACTTTATTATCTGGTTAACATATATTAAACATATATTAAATAATTAGTCATTGCTTTTATTTATAATTAGTATGTAAAATTTAGGTTTTGTAAAAATTTTAATAATTATTTCTCTTACCCCCTATTACAGTTGTCAAAGGTAAGGCCATTTTTGCACCCTTGATCTGAAATATAGGTTTTGGTAATTAATTAAAGCGATTGAGTGAATAAAATGAATGTGTTTGAAAATAATAATACATAGTACATATTTGTATGACACATAAGTACTTACAAACGACGAATTATTACAATATTTAAACAACCATGGATATATCCATTCGTAGTAATTTATATTAATGTATGCTATAAATTTAAATTACCTATATTACATATTCCTTATATTATTTTATTCTTAATAAAATGCAAAAGAATTTAGAAAAAGGTTATTTACATAGACATAAGTTATCATTTGACAAATTCCATTTAAACAATGATGTGCTATGTAATAAATGACACTTTTAAGTTAAAAAAAAGCGACAACATACAATAAAAAATGACCAAATAACAAATATCCCAAAGTGATAATTCATTGTCGATAGCATGTTAAAATAACTGGGTTCTTTAACCGACTTCCAAAAAGGAGAGCATAATGTTGGGCCGGTGTTTTTTGTTTAATAAGTTTGACACGAGATGGCATTGACAACAATTTTTAATTCTAACGTCTTATTTATAATCTTAACGTACATATTTGTTTTAATTTGACAGTGATCATTTCATAACAATAAATGTTAAGTCTCGATTGTAGACTTCGTAGACTACTTAATGGTTATTATATGTAAAAGCTCTGATATATTTATTTAAAATTAACTTAAGAACATATTTTGTATCGTATGCAGAAAGACAGACAGCTAAGGAACGAACTAAGATCTATACATCAAACTAAGTCGACTATTTAGGCTAGTCTGAAATTAAAAAACAGATTATACCTTCTATCAACTAAAATCTTACGTATTAAAATTTAATAACATAGTATAAAATATTTCAAATATTTCTAAATTTTCAAATATTTTTTTAAATGTGACATTAGGTTACGTCAAATAAATATTGTCATAAAACAGAACATTAATTTGAATAGTGAATTATACAGACAATTGAACAGTGATAGTGAATATAGCGTATAATATAAAACTTTGTTGCACGTGTACCTATACGTGCAAAGGTATATTCAGCTCAGGAGCGTGCCACTCACCCAGCGCCATCCATCTATCATCCGCCCATCTACATTCCAAGTAAGTGCACACCCTTACATCTCTCTCCCTTACAACTCCAACCCCCGCTTCAGCTCATCGTCAATGTGAGGTGTCCCAGCCCTTACAGTTTTAGGGCTAGCCCTCGCATATATTCTTTTGGTCCTTCGGCCTCTGAAACCCATGTGGATATATATATATATTTTTTGGTCCTTCGGCCTCTGAACCACCCCCCTGTGGATAAACAGTGTCCTGAACCCGGGAAATAAGCCCAACCACACCCAGTTTTAAGCATAAAGTTACCCACATTTATTTATTTATTTCTTTTTCAACTAAATATTTAAATCTCATAAATAGATAAAAACTTCTTGTGTATAATCATATAATCTCAGCCCAACTATTGAAATTCACTAATACATAACATTTATTATTAATATTTAAATATAAATATTTCACATCTCAATACATTGTTCCTATTGCTACGTAGGTAATAAGCTAACGCTTTCGAATATAATAAACGTCTCGTATTTCAACAAGTGTTTGATTGCATCATTTTTAAACATATAACTAATAACATAATAATATAAATAAATAAATAAAAGTTCATAGAAAAGTATTAACAATCGGCTCAATACTGCGCTTTATAGTTAGATCAGCTGAGTCGTAGTTAGGTCAAGGACACGGCGTGCGTCTCGATCATTAGTAAGAAAGAAGCAAGTGTTAACATATTTTATTTTTTAATTTAAAAGGTTTAATTTAAAAGGTAATTAGCGAAGTTATAGTTTTGTATTAGTACAGTGTTATAAATTGTATTATAATTGGTGCAGCGTTGATAGATATATATTAATTGTACCGTATTATTTCTTCTCAATAGGCATTATTATTGTTTTAGCTTATAAATTTTTTAGTGTTAATTTTTAAATTACTTTTACATAGATAGTATATATAGATATTCTGCTCACTTTAGTCTTCGCTCCGCACTTATCCGTTGCTCGGCTCAATAACATTATATTATAACATTTATACCACAATCTCACATTCATTTATTTTTTAACCGACTTCCAAAAAAGGAGGAGGTTCACAATTCGATTGTATTTTTTTTTTTTGCTCGTCTCTTTTTTTCCTCACTTATTTAATTATATAGTAATTTACTTACAATGCCGTCCAAATCTCAAGCAGCTATTTTTCGTGAGGCGATAAAGGCAATTAACCAGCTCAAGGAAATTGCCTTGGCGGTGACAGCTAAGGAAACGAAAAAGTATAGTATAACGGATTTTACTGCTAGGTACGCCAAGCTAGAGGAACACAAGCGCAAATTGGAAAACGTCTTCTACGAGATCCTGGATGACGAGGACCTCACCGATGACGTCGAGGCCACATATACTAAGAATTATGAAAAGGCGATTTCAGAATACAATGATATCCTTGTTGCGTTTGAGAAATTAAGTGTGGCCTCAGCTCTTCCGGAGACTGCTCATCCGTCCACGTCAGCCACACCTGCTAACGTTCTGCCCAAAATTGCTCTGCCGAAGTTCAGCTCTAAAATTGAAGACTGGCCTTCCTTCATAGCCATCTTTAGGAGTCTTACTGATGACATGACAACCATTTCGGATTCTGTGAAGCTTCATTATCTGCTCTCGTGCCTCTCAGGCGAGGCACGCAGTATGGTATCTCATCTTCAGCTCACCAACGAGAACTTCGCCGTGGCCATGCATATTCTAACCAGGCGATATGAAAACCGTCGCGTCCTGATCGACCGGTTTGTGGACATCATACTAGGGCTACCACACATCCATACACGCTCTGATATCCGCACACTCTTCTTGACTCCGCTCATTTCTGCGCAATGCGCCCTAAATAACCTCGATTTGCCCATGAAGGATAGTGACTACGTTTTCGTATCAATAGTAGTACGAAAGCTTAAGGGTGAGCTTCGGACCCTCTTTGAGCGTAAATATGGATCACGTCAGACTCTGCCAACTCTTAATAATTTAATCACCTTCTTGGAAGAGCACGCGCGTTGTGTGGAGACCGAGCGATCCAGCCCACTCTCTTCACAGGTTAGTCGGCACTCCCCACAGAATAACCAATACCGCAGGCGGACCCCCCCTGCTTCTCCACGAGTTTCTCCTCGTCAGTCCGCTCATCATCAATTTCGGCCAATTAACCAGGCAAGAAGTCGACACGAATATAGCACCCCGCAGCCGGCTCCGCTTAGGCCGGTTTACTCGGCTCAACCATCAGCTACTGTCGCTCCCATTGCAGATAATATGCCCTGCCCATACTGCAGACATAGAGGGCACAAGCTCATCGCCTGCCCGCGGTACAATGACCAACCGATCCAGGGTCGATGGGACTTTATCAACGCTCGCAACCGCTGTCGACGCTGCTTAGGCCCTCATTATGAGAATGAGTGCAAATCCACGAGGGCTTGCAAAGAGTGTGGAAATACAAGACACCACACATCACTGCATCGGCCAGGTGCTTCTTCTCCGACTCACTCGAACGCTCATCTTCTACCTACGCATATGAGAGAGCAACCCAGACAGCGCTCAGCAGATGAGCACCAACATTATTCGGCACACGCCGCACATGTGAACCCCAGGCCGCACAACAATCAACCCAATCATTCGCGCTCGCCTAGTAGGTCTCGGGTAGGTGGTCAACAATGACTATCTACAACAAACGAACACTACAAACAAGAAACTAATCAGCACACTCACTCAAACTCAGCTCACACACAGACCTCACAAGCTCACTCTGCGATATCAGCTCCAACCATGAATAATTATTTTTGCAATTCCGCTCAACGTGAAGAGCACGTTACCAATTTACCAATTTTATTGCCAACCGTCTCGCTAAAAATAGCAGACGTACATGGTCACTTTCACACAGCTCGAGCCTTGTTGGATTGTGGTAGCATGATAACACTTATAACTCAGCGCATGGCTCGAATTTTGAATTTACCGCTAAATCAAACATCACTAAAAATCGCAGGAGTGGGCAACCACCACACACAGGACTCAAAGGAATCAATCACAATAGTATGTAGACCTACACACCATGACACACCTACGATTACAGCTACAGCGCATATTTTAAAAAATCTTACAGGTTACTTACCAATACAAAAAGTTCCGCGCATAGCAGATGCAGAGCCTCCGATTCCCTTGGCAGATCAAGATTACCATACACCAGCTCCGATCGATCTCTTATTGGGTTCTGACGTTCTCGGCCAAGTTCTGGACGGGACTAAGGTGTCGTTAGGCCGGGGGAAGCCTATAGCCTTCGGCACGATTTTCGATTATGCATTGATAGGACCTATTGCGGATTTACATGCAACGTCTGCAAACCAGTCCATCTCAGCTCACGTTATCAGCTCACACTCAGAATCCGACGTATCTACACGCGAAATTTGCAAGCGCATTGAGAGGTTCTGGGACTCGGAAGAACCACAACCTCATATAGCGACCAGTCCTTTGCAGGAGCAATGCGAAGAAATTTACCGCACCACAACAACTCGAGAACCATCAGGCAAATATATGGTAACATTGCCTTTTTTACCAAATGCGCCGACCTTAGGCAACACTCATGCTATTGCGCTACGTAGATTTCTCAATCTCGAAAAGAAGTTACAAGCAAATCCGCCCCTCCGCTCTCAATATGTTGATTTTATGAATGAGTATCTCAACTTGGGACACATGTCACCCTGTCACCCAAGTACCTTTGCAGGTAGGCCGCACTTCTATATTCCGCATCATGCTATCTTCAAGACGGGATCAGATAAGCTACGCACTGTATTTGATGGTAGCAGTAAAAGCTCAAATGGCGTAAGTCTAAATGATTGCCTGCACACAGGTCCAGCTCTCCAACAGGATATTGTTGATATTATTATGTCATTTAGAACACACCCTGTAGTCTTCAGTACTGACATCAGAAAGATGTTCAGAAATATACTCATCCATCCAGATCATAGACAGTATCAACTTATTCTCTGGCGGTCGTCACCTGACCAGCCTCTGCTCACATATGCGCTAAATACAGTCACGTATGGTTTACGGTCCAGCCCGTACCATGCCATCCGCACACTGCTCCAATTGGCTGATGACGAAGGTCATCGTTACCCACAAGCTGCACAGATCCTACGCAATTCGATCTTCGTTGACGATATACTTTGTGGCCATGACTCTGTGGAGTCTGCACAGGTACTACAAACCGAGTTGATTGATTTGCTTGGCCTGGGTGGCTTTCAGCTCAGTAAATGGACTTCAAACTGTCCCCAGCTCCTGGAACGGTTTCCTGATGACCAATGTGACATGCCTAAGGACTTTGACATCAGCCCAGAATCAAACATCATTAAAGTGCTAGGGATACAATGGATTCCTCAATCGGATGAGTTCACTTATCGCATCTCTCTCCCTCTAATAACCCAAATCACAAAGCGCTCTATTCTCAGCACAGTAGCATCACTCTATGACCCCAACGGTTGGGTCACACCGGTCATTTTCCGCGCAAAGTGTCTTTTACAGAAGTTATGGCTCCTGAGATTGGGATGGGACGAACCCCTTAGCATTGACGTTTGCACAGAGTGGCAGCACATTTCACAAGATCTTCCTCAACTCTCGAATCTCCGCTTACCTCGTCACATTTGCAAATATAAGCCGACATTTACTTACTCGCTCCACGGGTTCGCAGACGCATCAGAAGCTGGATTTGCGTCTGTTATTTACCTTCATGAGCTCAATGCCAATGGACAGGTCAATGTTCACCTGGTCGTTGCCAAGTCTAAGGTCGCGCCAATTAAGAATCGCCTCACAATTCCTAAATTGGAACTATCAGCCGCAGCTCTATTATCGCAACTCATGACTCGTGTGTCCACTAAATTATCAGCTCATATTGCTATAGACCAGCATATCTGTTGGTCGGATAGCACAATAGTTATAGCGTGGCTAAACACGCCCCCTCATCGGCTCCAGACATATGAGGCCAACCGAGTGGCAAAAATAACGTCTAGTCCGACTAGCATTATATGGAGACATGTTCCCACGAAGCTCAACCCTGCAGACTGTGCAAGCAGGGGCATGTCAGCACAATCGCTTTCAGCTCATGATCTCTGGTGGTCTCCCAGTTGGCTCAAAGAGCCCCCTAGTACCTGGCCCAAGATGCCAGTCGCTTTAGGCCACCATGCTCTACCAGGCCTTAAACCGAGAAAATTACCAGCACATATAGCGGTTCCGGATATTGACCATGATCTGCTCACTCGCTTCAGCTCACTTGACAAGCTCGTCGGGGTGACGGCTTGTATTATGCGTTTCATTTTCAATTGTAAGCACAGCCCAGAGGCACGACGCGCTGGTCCGCTGACTGTTGGCGAACGTAGGGACGCTCTGTTATTCTGGGTCCGCTCCGTTCAACAAAATGAGTTCGCAGAGGACTTTCACCGTCTTCAAAAGGATAAACTTTTTACTGCTCGACTGCAGCGTCTCTCGCCATTTATCAAAGACGGTCTCCTGAGAGTCGGTGGTCGTCTTTCTCATGCTCCAATTAGGTATGATGCACAACATTCACTCATTCTGCCCAGCTCTAGCCCACTCGTAGACCTCATCATTGACCATTACCACAAAATACACTGCCATCCTGGCTCTGACACTCTACACACCATTCTCCGCCAGCAATTCTGGATACTATCCGCTCGCCGCGTGATCAGACGCCGGGTGTTTAAATGTATAAGATGCTTCCGATGTCGCGCTCAACCCGAAGCCCCGTTCATGGGAGACCTTCCCGCGGACAGGGTTAACCCTCAACCTGTATTTAGCCAAGTCACGACTGACTTTGCCGGCCCGTTTCTCATTAAATCTAGCACATTACGGAACGCTAAGCTCTTAAAAGCGTACTTTTGCATATTCGTGTGTCTCTCAACTAAGGCGGTTCATTTAGAGGCCGTCTCTGCTCTTACCACAGAAGCCTTTCTCGCGGCGTTACAAAGATTTATCTCACGGCGCGGTACGCCGGTACTAATTAGATCAGATTGCGGCACCAATTATGTAGGCTCCAGAAATCACCTCATAGAAGTCCAAAATTTTCTCACTGCTAATAATGATGCTATCACACACAAACTAGCCAACCAGCACGTAACCTGGTTGTTAAACCCCCCAAAGGGCCCCTGGTTCGGCGCGTTACATGAAATTAACATTAAATCTACGAAACAATTACTTTATCGCGTAATTGGTGAACAACACCTTACATTTGAGGAATTTTCTACACTTCTGACACGAATTGAGGCTGTACTTAACTCCAGACCTCTCTGCCCACTTTCATCCGACCCGTCGGACTTTCAGCCCTTAACCGCTGGCCATTTTATTATAGGCCGTCCGCTCACAGCTCTGCCCGAGCCGTCCTTTGATGACAGGCCATTATCTGCTCTTAAACGTTTTCAACTCATACAAGCTCTTTCTCAACGCTTTTGGACACTGTGGACCAGATCCTACCTCCATACCCTTCAGACCCGCTCCAAATGGCTTTCCCCTTCCTCACCTCCTCAAGTTGGCGAACTGGTACTCGTCAAAGAAGATAACCTGCCCCCGCTCCAATGGAAACTGGGAAGAATTACCCGTACAATACCTGGCAAGGATGGAGTGATCCGAGTTGTGGATCTGGACACAGCCCACGGACATCTGCGCAGACCTGTGCTCAAGATAGCAAGGCTGCCGTTAGATTCAGCTCAAGAAGAGGTGCTCTCTCGGGCCCCCCAGGATGTTCGCGCCACTCGGGCGCGACGATTGGTTCCCTGATTTGCTCTCTCACTCTTACTCATGGATTCGGCGCGAGCGTCGCATGCGCGCCACTTGGAAGATGTCACGCGTCGTCCTCGGTTCGAGAAGGGTCGTTAAATTGAAAATATATGTAAAAGTAAAACCCTTCAGCTCATCTGCTCGTGTGTGAATTATTATAAGTATATTGCCGGCCGGCTCCTATTAAAGTGAATTATACAGACAATTGAACAGTGATAGTGAATATAGCGTATAATATAAAACTTTGTTGCACGTGTACCTATACGTGCAAAGGTATATTCAGCTCAGGAGCGTGCCACTCACCCATCGCCATCCATCTATCATCCGCCCATCTACATTCCAAGTAAGTGCACACCCTTACATCTCTCTCCCTTACAACTCCAACCCCCGCTTCAGCTCATCGTCTATGTGAGGTGTCCCAGCCCTTACAGTTTTAGGGCTAGCCCTCACAATAATATTAGTATGGATTTTACCTCACGAAAACAATTATTCATTATTTGTCTGTACCGGTACGTGTTCAATAAAGTAGATAGTATAAGTATCGAGATCGATATAGAGATCGTTTGTAAGTAATAATTAAAAAAAGACAATGCCTTTAATAATCCCATTCTTTATCTGCACGATTTAAAGGTAGTGTGTGCAATGCTACGGCCATAATATTATGGGGAAATTAAAATTTGCTGCATAACGTGCGAGTTTTTGAGGAGGTTTGTAAGGATTCTTTTTATGAAAAAATGATCGCTTCCCATAAATATTTAATTATAGTTAGTTATGTGCCCCTTTATATTTTTTAAAACAAAAAGTAAATATTTAACGTAAATAAAGTGTTATTTTATCGTCAAAATCATAAAAAGTCACCGAAATCAAAAATCATCCTAAACAGTAGACCTATAGTTAAATTAGAGACTATTAATAGCATTACGAACAATAAATTAAACATTCGATGTCAATTGCGCTCGAGAGTTGACCGTGACATGTTGGAACGTACTCGTTTAACCGCATTTACTTCTACACCAATCTCATCATCACATTAATATATTATAACGCTATCAGTGCGAAACTAGCCCAACTTTTATTATTATACACAAGAAATAAAAATAAACTTAACATTTATTTGTCATTTTTATAAAAAATATATATAAATAAACAGGTTATAGAACAAAAATGACTAATTTAGAAATAATAAAAATTATGATATAGGTATAGGCTATTTCTGCATTGGAAAACCGTAATATCTAAGATACACTACCTATGCCATGCGATCGTGAGTGCGGTGCGAAGTTTCCCCCACAGCCATGGGTACAGCCCGCCTCCTCTCCAGGCTGCTCGCGCCACGTATTTGACGTAGTCGTATAGTCCCCACGGCGCGTGACCACCGTTCACGTAGTACACGTATGTGAAACCATCTTTACAGCGGCCTTTTATTGAATAGTAATATGGTAGGAACGAGTGGAGTCTGAATCTGCAATGTATTATACATTATGTACAAATGATGTCAATTTTATCGAGATTGAATGAGTAGAGATTGTAAAGGCTACAATGGTGGGTAACTCTGTAAATCTCAAATGCTAGGTCATTTGGTGTTTTTTGGTGCTACTGGTGCATACATTTGCAAGCACAACGAAGTTTCATCATAATGTAATGAATATTACATATATTATTTTATAACTTACGATTAAAAATATAAACATGTATAGGCATAGAACGCGCGAGCTAAGTTTTAAAAAGACAAAAAAGCTCTATGGAAATCGTAACATAATTGTAAAGTCTTGGTAAAATCAATATAAAGACAAAATAAATGCTTATTTTTTAAATACAAAATACTTGTGTTTAATGCAACTTTTTACCTATTTCGACAACATTAACACTGCTGTACGTGGTTTTGAAACCGTGCCATTTAGTGATAAAAAGAGAATCAAATTAATCTTCAGCGGTGTTCACATTTAAGAACGCCGTTCACATTAATGAAATGGTGAAGTCGTTCAAAAAAATTCGTGATATTCACACTCAACACTCGTTTTAATTTAAGATAAATAATTTTCAAATATGTTAACTTGTTTACATAATAACTTAACGTAAACAATGCTTTTAAGGATTTATATGTATAATACATAGTCTGCGACACCTATTTTTCGAAGTAGACATGATATGAACAGTAGATACCATAACTGTTTTTCCTTAGACGGACGTTGTGCTTAGTTAAATAGTAAATAACGGTTTAATGCATAGAATTTTCAAAAAGTGTAGCCATATTATTACACTGAATGAATAAGAGGGACGGGCGAATTTATAAAAATTAAGGTCAAAGTAATTTTTGTTATTAAGACACCGCGGCCCGTTTGATAGAGATGAAGAGTTTAAAACAACTATATATGTATATATCCTTGATAATTAAATCATAATATTAATAATATTGATATAATTTTTCTAAATTACGTGATAAATATTTTTATTCAAAACATTAATAATGATTTTATTCATTTGCTAAATAAATTTCTTATTAATAATAATAAATAATATTAATTTCCTCAATATAATAATGAATAATGTTCTGATATCCCTTATTTTGGACTCGGCAACTGAACTTATCCAGGCATTCAGGAAATTAAAGCTTATATCTGGCTCTAATAAAAAGTGAAGGCTTCAACATAAAAACGCTTCTGCTCGTTTTTAGTTTTCAGTTTGGTGGCAATACAGTACCAGATAGTGGCAAAATGGCCCACTGAGAACTACAAAAAAACTAAGTGAAGACATAGCAACACTAATGGCATCTACTTTCTCTATATTTGTCATAATTCTCTATATTTAATATGTAATTTAGAAAAAAATAAGCATGTATGTCAATTTTATTTACGAATATTTTTTGAACATTTTTAATGTTTCAATTTCTTAAATAAGCCCAGTTTCCTACTCATATGGACATCAGAAAACAATTTTGAAAATCCTTTTTAATACTAAATAATTATAAATTAATATATAAAATACCATATATTTTTATAATTGCATCATCATGCAAATGCATCATTGTTAACTATGAGAAAATACAACTGCAACTATACCCATTATTTATAGAAATAATAATTAACACTATTATACATACTTAATTAATGAGCAAACTTGTAATAAGTCTAATTGAATAAAGTTTATTCCATTTAAAACAATGGTTGAAGGAAAATTCAATGCCAAATAGTGTATATGCCTACGTGTTTCTGACGATGGAGGTATGTTAATCTACCGGTTTGCAATGTCGGGATGGCGAAAAATATTATTCGAGCGTGTCTAATATGCAAAAAAAAACCGCTATGTTTGTATTTGAGCGCCTCAGATTATTATTCAGACGGTTCAGCTTCATGTTCTAGTGGTGCTGAGATTGCTGACCCTTAATATGAAGATTATTCGGAGGGACTTAATATGACAATTTATTTATTTTTTATGATTTCTTTCGGTAATGTCGTCAGGGTGACGGAAAGTAGTTTAGGAATGGAGCAAGACAGTTGGTGAAAGAAAAATAAGCGCGGATTGAAGAATACATGCTTCACTGCAGCTGCAACTGCTCTAAACTTTATGGGCAATTTTTGTTACTTCGGCTTGTGGAAATCGGTTATTGAAATGCACAGTTTTCAGCATTTAATTAGACTACCACACCTTTATCTGACGCGCTCAATATATAAATATTAAACTTATTAAAATATTTTTAACTATTCTGATCGACTGCCTTTGACGTGCGACCTTATACAGAAGACTTTTATACAGTGGAGGTACTCAACAGAGTGCAAGGTATCCCCCAATATGTCAATTTGCTTTTGTTTAAAATAGTCATTTGTAACTAATACTAATGTAACTAACTAATGTAATTAATGTAAAAAAAGCTTACCTTCTTTTTTCATAAAACAAGATAGCCTCATTGTTTGTTGTCAAAACATGTAAGAATATAGCTTTGACTCTGTGTTCATGAGGGGGCTGTGGGACTGGACCAGCTAGGTGGTTGATCAAAACATCTAGTAATAATGTTGCTACCCCTGAGCGACGGTAGGAACGAACTACACCTGAAAATATAAATTTTAAAATATCAATATACATCTAAGGAAAAGTAATTTTGATCTTTATTATTACCTTATAAATGGAAATGATAAGATATAATTGGGACACTCAAATATTTACACACAACACTATCATCTAAATAAATAATAGATTGTAAGATTGATACATGACATATATTCTTTAATGTTCTTTTTTTGCACCATTCGCAATAGGAATTAATTTTCAATACATATAATTCTTTTACGAGAATGACATATGGTTCACTTTTATTACAAGGAAAAAATTATTAATTAATATTCCAATTCAGGGAAGATAGCATTTTTACTCACCATCTTGCTGTTCTGTTCTAGGAAAATATAACAGTTGCAAGATAAAATAATCAAACAAAAAGTATAATTTTTAAGATTGTTTACCTAGAGATAATATATATGCAACTAGTGTGTCTTTTGAGGCAAACCATCTAGAAAGTATGCCTCTATCTTCAGCATTGAGTTTAAGATATGGTTTAATCTCAGCGACTATTAGACCTATAATTTGGCTCTTATACACAGCAGCCAGTGCAAAGAATCTTTCAGAAGATGTAATATCCTCGTACCATGACTGTGGATACTCTATAGGAAACCAATCTCTACAAAGAGATCTAACCTGAAAATTAAATGTTAAAGCTGCTATGTATAAATAATTTGACATTGAACTGTATATTTATAAAGTTTGCAAAAGCTGTTTATGAATATATATGTTTATTTAAATAGCCATAAATGAGTTCTTAAAGGAAAACTTAAATATTTATTAGGATAAATAAAAAATACATATAATTTACTATTAAATATATTAGACTACCTCTTCTAAATCATCAGGGCACAAAAAACGCAGCTGTACATCTTTTAGTGAACATTTTGCTTCTTTTGACTTCTCAATTATTACTTGGAAGCCTTCAGAAAGATACCTTATAAAAGATAAATTAGGTAATGAAAATTATTAAATAAAAAATTAAATATTAAGCAAAACGTATTTTAAAATTCTTAACTATACAAAATTTCATATAATATGTTTTTACACTATATAACATTATAAGGCTATTTGAAATATCTTTTGGTTAATTTGAAATAACCAAAGGAAATGCAAACAATAATAAGATTGAATCAATTAAAAGTTCAATTAAATGATTTCAAAACAAATATTTACCAGCTAAATCCAGCCATTCGGTAATCTGGCCATTAATAGTAACAGTTAAACACTCATTGTGGTTAATCTTGTTATCATTTCAAGAATCTGTCCTATCGTTTTCCTTTTAAATTATTAATATGAAATCAGAAACACCAAAATTCTGCTATGCAATTGACATTTAGAAGTTTGACAAGTAGGTATGAAGTAATTTATGATTGACGTTCAATGACAGTCATGTAGAAATTGCCTGAGTGAAAAAATAAATAAATGAGGAATATTTCTAGTAAGGATGGCGCTACATGTATAATCTATCATTTAGTTTGAGGTTAAACAATTTATTATGATATCTCTTTTGTACCTGGTTTTTCGCTTCTTTCGCATCTTACCTGTGTAAAGTATTGTACCTGGAAGTTAAACCAGCTGAAGGAAGAATTGCGAAGAAAAGATGCGTCCTGTGGTCGTCCTGACTGATGGATCAACACACTGCCTAAAGCGCTGGTCGTAGAAATGTGAAATTTGGAGGACGTATTTCTTATAGGATGTAGGCTTCCAATAAGAAATGATTTTTTGTAATCCATCCCCTAAGTGTCGATATGTAATCAATTAAAGATTGTATGAAACTCTGTCATTCTTAATGTTAAATACACAGAAAGTGGTGTTTAGCTTTAAGATAAAAAATAAGAAATATATTTTTTTCTTTTTTTTCGAAATTCGTACCTTAATGGGGTAAAAGAAGATAATTAACTTTATATGAGCAAATAATTATTTATGATACTTGAAACTTAGTTTTAATACTCTTCAATACAATTAAATAAATATGTGTTTTAGCATTTTTTGAAATTCAATTCCATAAGGGGGTAAAATGAGGGATGAAAGTTTGTATTAGACTTTGTAATTAATATGTAAAAAAGTACAAAAAAATATTAAGAGTTTTAAAATCACTTTCTATAAAATGATGTCCACATAACCTTAAATATAAAGATTGTGATTTCGCCAATTTTGGTCGTGTTATTGCTTTTACCACATTTTTTTTAGTTTTCGTCTTTTGGGAACAAATGATATCCATAATCTTTACATCTTGGTACTGCAAAATTTGTTATTTTAACTAAATTTTAAATTAAAAAAACACCGTCCATGCTATAGAGCTTTACAATATATTGAGGATCTTCGTGATCGTGACATCTAGTGGCAGAAAATGGCAAAATTTTTCCTTATTAGACCTCCCTAGTTACTTCTTTCGGAACTAATGATAGCAGTTTTTTTGCTACTTTCTTAACAGTAATATTTCTTGCATACTTTTTTGTTTGTGAATAATTTCACCTTACTGGTACTACTACTGATACTTATAATAATACTAGCAATGCCCGCGGCTACGCCCGCGTTCAGATGACCAAAAAGCAAATTCTTAGGTGTTACATATTAGTATACTCTTACATTGCACTTTTTGTATTTTTTCTCAGAATTGAGAAATTTTCCCAGGGTAAAAAGTATCCTATATGTTGACCCGGATAACCAGCTAACACCATACCGAATTTCATCAAAATCCTTCCAGTGGCTTTTCTGTGATGCGGTAACAGACAGACAAAAATTCTAAAAACTATAAATTCGGCCTCTGTATCGATAATAATGTTTTTTCAATAAGATTTTCCAAAAAATATTTTATGTACAGATTCGACTCAGTTAGAATTTTATTATATGTATAGATAATAACATTGTACACAGACTACACAGGTAGGGACTTTATTAGTTGGTAGAGATTAGTTTTACAATTTAGGATAGAGAATCTGGTCACCGCTAAGTGTTAATAGAGGTGACGCGATTTATAAGCCACCACAGTATTTAACCATACCATGGTCATGAATCAATAAGAATAACTTACTATGTATTTGTAGAAATGTATGTATATACATAATATACAATATTGAAAATCTTTACTTAAACTAAGAAAGACCATTAAAGTATAGACCATATAAGAATAAGATTAAAGTTTCACTTATAGATATCGTTTAGGGCATAACATATTTTTCATACATGTTATTGCCCTTAAAGTAATTCTGATGTAACTGAGCGTAATGATTCAGTCTTATTGTACACATGTTAGCACTTGGCTCGGTACTCTTACATTGTTGGATTTGATTTCTAAGCGATGCTCACCAGACGTCGAGGTATCGTCTTACAAGTATCTGGTATCTGGAGACCAATTTCACACGAGCTGTCGTTTGAATGAACCACTTGAATAGGGTCAGCGACAAGCGAAAGCCATCCTTTCCGATATGATTTTGACATTACGTTGGAATTTACTTTGTAATGAATCATTTTAAAAAATAAGTTTTTATTTTTTAAATTTATTTGTTTATCCGTCATCGGTTGATATTTCACACTCATTCTCTGGTTTCCATCTAAATTCTATCTATTCTATCGCTATAATAATGTTAGTACCTACTTTTATTATATAAGTACTTACATATGTTTTGCTAAGCGTAAGCCTAGTATATTGTTAGTTATTTTTTCTCACGTACAGAAGAAGTTCTCATCAGAGGATCCAAAAGCTTATTAAATTTATTTTCATTGTTTTCCAATTTTCTGTTTTATTGCCGTACTTTTTAAATAGGTACATATGAAGTTAGGTACCGATTAATATATGTCTCCTACGAATATTTTTCGGTACCTAACATTTAATTTACAGTTTACAGAGCCGTCGTTAATACTTAACTTCTATGCTTAGCAATAAAAACGATCGAGATATTGAAGCATAAAATTGAGCATGCTACCCTCCGCCCACATAATTAATATCTCATGTTGGGGACAAAAAAAGTTAGCTAGCCTCCACAGGATAGGATGTCTTGCAGGCTGCGGCATACGCCTGTGTAACGCGAGCCGCCGCACGCGCCTTGCTCCCGGCCCATTTGCACTCAATCTTAATATTCTAATATGCACCATTAGGCATTCATAACCATCTCTTGTTTTGTTTTTGTGTCTTTTGATCCGATTCCGATTTTGAGAATTTAATTATGTTAAAAGAAATATTTTTTTAATTCTTTGTTTTCATCTACACTAGTATTATAAAAAAGTAAAATATAAGGTTTTATGGTTAGTTTATAAGTTTGGATCTCTGAAATTAATGATACGCGTCTAAACATTTTTTTTTTCTTTAGAAAAAAAAGTTGACTTTATTTATTGGTGTGTGTTGCCCAAACGTTTGAAATAAAGCACTAATATATATTATGATGAAGAAAGCCAACAAAAAGGGAACCATGAAATCATATTATTGTAATCTTGACCATCATAAATATCTACGTGATGCATCCAAATCCATTTACATTCAGGGGTACTTTATTTTTAAGTAAGTAATATATAAGTAAGTTTATACATCTATACATATAATAAAATTGCAACTAAGCCGAATCTGTACATTAAATATTTTTTGTAAAATCTAATTGAAATAGATATTATTATCGATACAGAGTCCGAATCTAGGTATGGATTTTAGAATTTTTGTCTGTCTGTCTGTCTGTCTGTCTGTCTGTTACCGCATCACGAGAAAACCACTGAACAGATTTTGATGAAATTTTGTATGATGATAGCTAGTTATCCGGGTCAATAGGGACTTTTTGCCGCGAGAAAATATCTCATTTCTGAGAAAAAATACAAAAACTGCATTGTAAGAGTATATTACTATGTAAAACCTGAGAATTTGGTCTTTGGTCATCGAACGCGGGCGGAGCTGCGGGCAATGCTAGTAATATATATGTTTTTATATGTCATATAACATTATTTTGATATCAAGAGTTTTATTTTCTCACGATATAATCTGATCAACATTGTGGAAAAATCAAGAAATGGAAATAGCTTCCGTTAAATAAGAAATTCCACCAACACACTTGGTGTCCGTATGCCAAACTTCTAATCAGTAAATTAGCAGTGTAAAGGCAACGAACAGAAACACAGATACGTAAGGTAATGTTATATAGGTATATTATACCTATGCGTGTTATCTAAATATGTATCAACTGTTTTCTACGAGTAGATACATCTACGCGTATATCATATATCACCTAGATATTTACAGAAATATTCTATAAAGTTTTATAGAAACAAAGTATTAGGTAATAGCTTTTTCGCTAAAAGCCTACACCGTCTTCAACATAAACTACAAAAACAATCCTTTTACGTTTAGGGGTGGAATATTTTTTTGGCATGGAAATTGGAATCATCTTTTAACACACAAAAATCGTCCGAGTTGAGTACCTTTTTTCTTATTTTTTTATTGAAAAACGATCAGTGCTCTAGCATTTATGAATTCAAAACTTTTCCAAATGTAGATAATTAATTATATTTCAATACAGTTATAAATCAGCCGAAGCTTATATACTAAGGACTCTTAATTACGTAATTTGCTCTTAAATTGATCTCATTAGTCGGTCGCGAAAATGTGAGAGTGATAAGATATGGGAACAAGGAGGCTTTGTAGCGGCGGGCGCGACCCGCCGGAAGCGGGACGGTTAGGGGTCGCTCGTATCGCGTATTCGATGAGTATCCTTTATACATTCTGAGAAACCAGAGAGAGATTATAATAATATGTGCAAGTGTACTTAGGTAGTTATATTATGTTTAATTTATTAAATTTGCTTCAATTTATCTATACAAGTTGATAAATGAGGTTGATTTCGCAATTCATTTAGAATTTATAAAAATTAATTGTAATTTAAGCACTTTGAAAATACTGGAGTATTTTGAATCTTACTTCTAGGTATAAGGTAGCTAGTTATACGAGTATGAATAGGTACTCTCCTTTCTGCCAGAATAAACTAATGGTACATACAATATCTATGAAATTTTGCCCTTAGTTTTGCCATGAAAATATTTAAATTACATATTTACATATTATTAATTATACAGAAATGTAAATAGGTAATTTAATGTTGATAAGACAATAAGTAAAAATAAAAATTCCATTTCAATTGAATCTTTTTATTTAAAAAATAACATTTTAACATTATAACTAATATCTAAAAATTAATCACAAAAATAACTTAATAATTAAAATATTAATTTAATGTCTAGAATACTTATGACTAAATATAAAACTATTTTCTATTAAGGATATTACAAAATAAGCTTTGGAACTGGTTTTGTGGAACTCTACTATGATTATTATTATATCGTAACTTTAAAATATAAAACATTCATAATTCTTTTACATTTTCTACATTCTTATAATGCCTATACTTTACATTTGTGACATTGTTTATAAATCAAGAATAGATAAATTAGAAATTAAGACTCATTCATATAAGTCACTTATAATAATAGGATATACAAAAAGATATGATAATATTATTAATAAAAATTTGCCCTTTAGAAATTGCACTCGGAATCTATTAACATAATTTAACTCAAGTAGAATTTGTTTCCTTAGAATAACAATGTAAAAGTTTTTATCAAACCCAGAAAGGTACGTAAATCTAGGATATCATGTTTTTTCAATAAATGTTTGCTTTGCGTTGTGATTAAACGCACGTGCGGTTAAGCCATTCGAGCCCATGTGGCGATATGATATTTACAATACCTACCATTCCTCCCAAGACATTTGTGACCTACTTATAATTTTATATTCAAACTCACCGCTATAGTACAGTATATATATGTGACTGGAACTATCTATTGGAGCGGAGGTCGAGGATTCGATCCCCACACAAAGCATGTAGCGAAATACGCCGAAAATAAAATTAAGATTTATCCTACTGTCGTAAGCATTAATGTACATATTTTTAGATATCTATTACTGAAAATAAGTATATTATGAAAAGCCAATAATACATTAGGGATGACCCGTGTAGTGTGTCCAATCACAGGGCGGATGTAGATGGGAAGGAACGGGGGTGTAGAGCCCTGGTGGATGGTGAGGCAGCGTGTGCGTGTAACGAGGCTGCATTTCATGGTAATCTGGTATTGGCACTGGCTTCAGGTACTGGTCTAGTTCAGCCCCGTCTGGGGGTCCATCAGCTAGAAGAGCCCCATCGACTTCAATACGAGAAAAATCGATTTGCGATCTTTCTGGAGTGGGTTCTCGCTTTAACCTCGCTGTTGCTGTCGGTGGAGGTTTACGCCTTCGAGGTTGATATTTGTAATCGGGATATTCTCTTTTATGCTGTGTACGTAACTTTTCCGCTTCTTTCACAAATGGCAACTTTTCTTCCTCGCTCAGACTTCTGTAAAGAAATTTATATTGAAATCTCTTGCCATATAATGTAAACAAAATTTATTTTCTGATATAAAATAACAAAACAATCAGCGCTAAATCTTAAATGAATTTGCTATAATAACAATTTAAAGGATTTTCTACACTAATGTACCTACTTTCAGATAATTAAAATTTTAAAATATTACTTTAATGATGATTAAAAAACTTTTAAGAATAGTCAAATGGCATGGAACATAATTAACTGGTTTAAGATAGAATCTCTCGTCTATAATTTCCAGATGCTAGCGCGCCGAATCGGCCGCCGCCGCCTTGTAAATGTACCATGAGTTCTCTATAAAATAAATACATTTAAGTCTATACTAATAATGATATTGTAACTCGGAATATGACGGACGTACTCGTAGGTCTGAATAATGAAATTAGCAAAAATATAAACAAGATAAACTAACCATTTAAAATTATTCTACCTAAAATGTATGAATATTATTCTATATTTTTTTCATAATAAGTAATTTAGAATATATTTAAGTCTATGTACCTATGTATATACATTTATTTTTATTTAAAGTGAATATACCGGAAATAAATGTTAAGTTATTTCAGCGGCCAAGAAAACTGGATCCCTTAGGTGCTTTATAAATGCGAAATTTAAAATTTAGTCTAATAAATTGTTCCTTCAGTACAACTGATATTAACTTTTACTTAACGAGTTTAAAATAGCAATGCAGTTTTAACGTCAACCGTTCTGCGGTATCTAAATGAGCACATCGCGGCAGATGAGATGAGTAATGTGAAGTACTGAGAGCAGGGCTGGGAAAGTGGACAGGGAAAGAACGGTATACTAAACGAATAAGATTAAAAAGAAATATAGTTCTTATTCTAGCACTTTAGAGTTTAAATTCCTGGTTAGTTTTACTAAGCTTATATTCTTGAAGCAGTGAAGAGCGCGTGCGGCGCCCAACCGAGAGGCGTGCATCGATTGTTTACTCATTAAAATGCTATCGCCGCTAAGTGATACGATAACATCTCTAACTGTTTTGAAGCTTTTCACTGTGGAGTTTTGGCCGAATTTAATAGAGTCAATAACAAACAAACTATTTCGATGCATTCATGTAAAACATAATTAGCCGCGTGGTTATTTATTACAAAGTATATGACTAAAATTTTAGTGATACATTTTCTGATATAATGATGTTATTTTAAAAATTTGATATTAGTAGGTACTCTAGTAAGATTTTAGTAAGTTTAAGTTTTAATAGATATCATTGTTGTTTTTCTTATAATGCACCATGGTCATTCTAATTCTAATTTCCCGAATTGTTCGGACATCTACGACCACCCGCGATGAACTGTTATGACTCAAGAATGACATGCCTATTCGGAGCAAACTCTCGAATCATCAAAGAAAACAGTCGGAGAAGAGATGTTGATTGCATTGATATGGTCGGCTCTATAACTGTCAGCGAATGTCTGAATTAGCGAGTTTGTGATTTGTAAAAATATTCCATACTATATATATTATTTTTTATTAAGGCTTGTATAAAAACAATGTAGAGTTTCAGCTACTCGTACAAACTACTCTTACAAAGTTATACTCGTAAAGAGGAACATGCTTTAGTGTTTCATACATACTTACTATTTTCAAATTGAATATTTTTATATTAAAAATACTAATTTAATACGAAAACAAATGTATTGCTAAATAAGTACATACAATAGTAAGATAAAAAATTTTTTTTTTGCTTTTTGTCATATCGACTTGAAACTTTGCGAATCTTTGTACTTATTTCTAATAATATTATAGTCATTTGGTATCATCGAGCTGATCTGATGGCGAAGCCAAAAGGTGAATAGTGGACGTCTTCAACGGCTAAAATCGATACTTTGAGTTTGGGCTTATTTTGTTTCATTTAACAAGCCCAATATGTTATAATTGGATATTAGAGCCTGATTTTTATTTTAGTTATTAATAAAAGTATGTTTTCAAGTTCGTTAGTCTTCACATAAAATTTGGCATTAAACATACTTAAATGGCTCAATCGAATATTTTAAAAAACTTTATAATACTGACAATGCTTTAAGGTATGAATATCTGATAGTTAAATATGACAAGGTGAAACTATGAACGAAATGAACGAAAAAATGAAAGTAAGAACGTTAATTATAGTAAAAATATTATACTTCCATTTGCTATGTATTTATACCTACTTACATGGTAATTGATTTCTTTTGCTTTGCATCGGCTGGCACTGAGTTTGAAAATATCTCATTATAATTCTATTGTAAATAAAAACCCTCGTCTATTTATTTTTTACTTTTTAGTGTTTAGGAACAGAATGTTATTTTTTTTATGTTTTTATTTTTTAGTGTCTGGGAGTAGTTTTTTAAGTAAATTGAATACTACAGAGACGTCGTAAAACTTGTGTATTTTTGCTTTTTTCTTTAATACTTACTTCCACATAGAGCCCAGTGATTTGCTAAGTTCTGCATTATGTAGTGAAGGTCTCTCTTCAGAAAGCCGCCTGCGCATTGCCTGTGCGAACACCATAAAGGCGTTCATCGGCCGCTTTACGTGTGCGCGGCGCATGCAGCCGCCGCCTCTGTGACACAAAATACGTAGGTCTTATTAAATTGTTCTATAATTTCGACAAATTATTATTGTTTTTTGTGTAATTATTATTTCTTTTTAACAATTGATAGAAATATTGTAAATAATAATTTTACTTTAAGAAAAGATAACAAGGTAATATCAGTCCCGCTGAGTTTCTTTCGCCAGTTCTCCTCAGGTCTGAGGCTTCTTCTTTCCGAACTGGTAGTGGACTCATGACGTTCAGTAAAACATTGTAATAATTTAATGCTGAATTAAACATTTTGAATTTTGAATTACGACAATCAACACTTTTTAAATATCAAATAGTTATTTTATTTGTTATTGGCTTTCCTGCAGTTTAGAATATCTACGTAGATTTTATTTTGTACATTATTACGACAGCTATGAAATACAGTTTGTTACAATGTTCAATGTTAAATAGTTGTATTATGCAAAAATCTCATAAGTCATAATAATCAATGCACGTGCAGGTGCCGAAATTTAAGAGGATCCAGATAATTAGCACTTGAATTACGTCTTGTTTCAAATAATTATAAGCCAAAGTTAATTTTAACTTAACGGATATTGTTAATTTTAAGTAAATTGTTAAGCACTACAATCTATCTAGCCTATTTTTCTCTCAATCCTAACAGTTTAGATTTATTTTAAAAACATATTTTTATTGTCCTTTTTGAAAATGTTCACCCCATGTCATTTTTACACTTTTATGGATGTTACATTTATCTATGATGTTACATTTAAACACTCGAAAAGGTCCACGATAGCTTTAATCTTTTTACAGAAGAATCAATCTCAGAAATGTTTGGATATTATATTATATGACTTTTTGATTGCTTTAATGTTTTTATGTAAACAATTAAGAAAATATTTGTTTTATAACTTATTTCATTACTATAAACTGGTCGAGCTTGCTAGTAAAATTATTAAGTATTCGGCGGTGTCTTGTAAAAACGGGTTACACAAAGCTTATAGCTAATGTTGACACAAGCAATATGAAACATACACTCGACTGTCGATACCACTTAAAAATTTCAACTTTCGGCGCGCGACCGATAATTATTAGGCGACTAAACTATAAAGCAGCGAGTAGAATAAATTACAAATAGGCAACCATTATGCACGTTTATTTTACCTCTTAACCTTACAGTGGTGAGCCGTCGCAAGTAAACTTCTAACGACTCAAGTGGCAGACCCTCACGTCATTTTACGCTCGTAAACATCTCTCATTTTATTACTTTTTTATTTTCTAATGCCGCATTCGGGTTTCCTCGCGATCTCAATGCTGACGATAAATTATGTTTTTTTCAAACACTGACACGCCACTAAAAGTCGATCGATTTCTAACGGATCACTCTCGGGAACCAATATGAAACGAAATAATTACTGCTTCGGCGAACTACCAACGGTTTCCTTGTTTATTAGTAAGAACGAGTTCTGGTAACGTAATAAGTTTAACTAAACTTTATTACCTTTACTCGTGCGAATGAAAGTCAGGGCCGTCTTTCAGTTGCTATAAGTGCGATGAAATTATATTTTTTTTAAATGCAAAATTTTAAGATCACGTATGCTGATTGTGGCAAAGACAATTTAAGAAATATTCGATTAGTTTTTGTAGAGATGTAAGAAGACCTACCGCGCGCCGCCATCTGGTTAGTAACATCTTCTGACAATCACAGATACTCGTACTTGTGGTCTATACTGGTATATATCTAGTTATAACATTTTCAACTGTTTCTCCTTGATTGATTATGATATACATATTCGCTGTGTTATTAGGTACATGCACAGGTAATGATAATTAAAAAATATCAATGAGTACATTTAAACTTATCTATTCACTAGCGATTCACCCTCGCTTCGCTTCGGGTTCGTCCCTAGACAAAAACAAATCTATCCTATGGGAACCGTAAATTTTTCCGGGATAAAAAGTAACCTATGTGCTATTTTAAATTATAATCTATCAATGTGCCAAAATTCATCCAGATCCGTTCATTCGTTCTGGTGTGAAAGAGTAACAAACATCCATCTATCCATCCTCACAAACTTTCACATAAATTATAATATTAGTATGGATTATTAGGACCACCATATTATGGAACATAGAACTCTACTGCTAACTACCTGTTTCTCAAAAAAAATATATTCGTCTTTAAATAAACAGATCTAGCCCATTTGGTAATAATTAATTGATTTTTATTGTTTAGCAATACAACAATTACATACAAGACATTTTTAAGCACTTTAACAAAACCGAAAAATAATTTCCTTTATAAAAAATTAAGTAATAAAAGTAAGATTTAAAATGCATAAAATATTTGTGAGCGTAAAATATGTTAAACATTAAAAAAGAAATTGGTTTTGTTAAAGTATTGTGAGTTAATTTGAAAGGCTTAAATTCATTACCGAACGTGTCTACGTCGCGACAAAAAGTTTTATAGCTGTACAATGATTTACTACGCCAGATTTCATAGTCTACGCCATACATCTGTGTTTACAACGAGTAGGACATGAATATTGTAAGTTTTTACATATGAGTTAATACAATCAGAGGCACGTGTAAATTACACTAGTTTAGGCATTTTATTACATACATACATACATACATATATCGCCCGACTTTTTAAAACAAAAAACCAAATATTTTTAATAATTAATAGTCGAAAGTTAATCAATTACTTCGTAATAATAACAGTCCTCAAATTTCAACTATAAATATTACAGAAGTATTGATGCAAGCATAATTGTGAACAAAATTTTAACACGTGTCACGTCTACAACGGTAGAGTTTAGGCACCTGTTATAAAATTTGACCCTTTGTTTTGCTAACTTGTCGATGCTCTGCGCTTAGAAAAGTCAATTTGAATTGATTGATAGATGTAAACCAAAGTAACATTGATTTATTTTTAGAATAAATACAATAGAGCTACTTGCTCATTTTTAGCCAGTATAAAAAACAAAAACCTTTAGAGTTGGATATGGATATGGATTATTGTGAAAGATTTTCAGGATACCATAAATTTGGCTGTATATTTTAAATAACTCTATCATTTCGGATTTTTTCGCGAATTTCTTTTGATTTTTGGTTCCTGACGTTACGAATGCTTTACAGCAATCATGATCATGGGAAGTCCCCTGAAGATAGTTTTATTTAAAACGTCAAATATTCGCGTTTTACGAAAGTACCTATTATATGCTGTATATTTTTATGCGTTCCGTAGGATATTATGTTATGTTGGCGCAATCACAAAACCAAGTGGTTCACGATTACGGAGGCCAATGGCTGAGGAAGTCATAAACATTGCAGAATATAGATAGCTGTCATCTGTGACGAGCCCGCCCACGCTATTTCTGCTCCCAACGAGTCGGGACTGGCCCCTAGCTTTCCTAACATACAAAATATACAAATTTGCAAAGCGTAATTCATTTAAGGTGACGTGTTATTTTTAAATTTCGGAACCATATACTTTTTTTTACAAGCACAGATGATGTAGAAATTACGTGAATAGTAAGGCATAATTTACAGTGTAGAAAAAAAAAGAAAGAGTCGATTAGAATTAATCGAATTTATTTTCGAATTCGGTTAACATCATCAATCATGAATTAACACTCAAAGTTTTTTTTCGTTATTTAACATTTACATATTAACAGTACCAGACGTGGGCAGTAAAAGTCTTCTGTCGCCACGGCGCGGCGCAGGAATCTTTTAAACATCCCCCAGAATCGCAGTTATCTTTACAGTCGATTTAACAACCACCATAAAACAATTAATGGCGTTGTAAAACACGACAGTAGCTGATGCCACAATCATGAGTCTGGCACTCGACTAATCTTCATCATAACGAATTTGTATTTACTAATACAACACCTGGTAGTACTTACCCCTGGGAAAGTATAAGTTCTTGGCAGCTTTTACATAAATATTAATATAAGTAAATAAATACATCACTAACTAAAAAAAATGATTTAATATTAATTGGGAAATGTTATACATTTATGATGAGTTAAGTATACTATACCTACTATTTCAGTAATGGACAATGATAAAGTTATGTTTTTTTTAATTTTTTCAATGGTTATGACATTAAACGTTGAAAGAGCACTTGTACAGTAATAATTAAGTGTATATTTATTTCATATATATAATTAAGTATATGAAACATACTACTTTCTTAGATTTACGCGAATATTTGACATTTTAAATAAAACTATCTTTTTGGATTATTTCGCGGATTTATATTGATTTTTGGTTCCCGACGTTTCGAATGTATTACAGCAATCATGGTCACGGGAGAGACTAAGGTTATACTACCCGCTATTTTACATGATTGCTGTGAAGCATTTGAAACGTCGGGAACCAAAAATCAAAATAAATCCGCGAAATAATCCGAAAAGATAGTTTTATTTTATATATGAAACATAATTAAGTTGGGAAATACTTCATAATTTTATGCACAGCGTCCCATTATCAGAACTGAGTTCTATCTATACACCTGGATACAGTTGTATGTCTATGGGAAAGTAAATACAATTATGTGATACACAAGGGTGGGGTGATAGTGAGTGGTCAGTGATATCTTTGTATTTATTCGTCAAGTAGGTAAAAGTCATATTGTTATCAGGGAAAGAATTGAAAAATGGGGCTAATGCCTTGGATTTACCAGCAAATATTTAACATTTAATGTATGTTTGTGAAATATGCAGATTCTAAAGGGACTGAAAATGTTGATTAAATGAACACTGTAAATAACAATGTTAGCATCAAAAAAATTATTACATTCAAAATAACATTATTTTTAAATAGTATATCTATTTGATACTTTTATTTAAATCGACGATAGTTGACATTTTTAGAGTTTTGGGTAGGTATCTTAAAGAGGCTGGTCACCCTAAAGAATGCCTGTGCAATTTTGATTGTAGGACAATTAAATTGCACAGGTATACCCAGGTACACATTTTTTCAACTATTTGCTCGGATTTCAGTTCATTTTA